CAATGTTTTTATTGTGAAATACAGATTTCATACGAAGAGTTATTATCCCTTTAACAATAATAATAAAAGTAGTGCAATTATAGTCTCTTTGAGGTAATTATACAGTCACCTAGTATTTCAGAGATTAGCACTTTTTAATGGTTGTATTACAAGCTTTATCCAGACCCTTTGTTGTTGCACAAGCTCTTCAAAGGACGGTTCACATATTACCCCAAATTAAAATGTATTTCTGCTAGCGTAATCACAGCATGTTCCACATTTCCTTAACAATGGCCAAAGATATTCTTTAGTGTTTTTGCACCAAATGTAATTATCCCTCAAGAAAAAAAGTTTATAACTCATGACACGTTGCACTACCAGTTCTACATTGGGTCTGGATCTTTTCTAACGATTCCGATTTAACTTACTTCTAAACCAAGCATCCTTGTTTCTGACATTCCAAAAGGAAATATCAACATCATTTGATGGATTTTCTAGTTTATGAAGTTTAAATTAGGTAAGATACGTAGCTACTATATGCAGCATATTTAGACATAAAAAATATGCCTTGGGAACAAATTTGAAATAGGTACAGAATATCTTTAAAACAATGAAACAGAGTCCAATACACAAGCTTTAAAAGTCAACTGACTGGACGTATGTGATTCACATGTTTTTCCAAGTTTAAATACAAATAATGATGCACAGTCTTAGAACATTACATAAATGAGGAAATAATGAAATATTCCTTTCATTTGACCTCTCCAACGACGTGTTTCTTTCTCTCTGGTACAAACGGAACAGTGCCTGGCTTGCTATGTGCTCTTCTGTTAGCCTCCCTGGAAGAGTAAATATATAACATTTGATATTTACTACAAAAACGAAAAAAACAAATTATTTACAAATTAAACAGAATTATATCACATTTATTACTTTCTAAAAAGGTCAGTCAGTCAACTTTTCCTAAAGGAACTTAGTGATATAATCAATCTGGTATTATTCAAGTAAGTTTTAAGTTTTGTCTTCAAATTATGACAGTCACTTATTTTGCAATTTTGGGATTATATACAGAAATGTCCATTGGTGTTTAATAAACTAAAAAAAAAACAACAAAATTTATGCTTAATACTAGGTCATTTCATATTAATTTTTTTTTCATAGTTTTCATCATTTAAAGTTTTTAATATGACTATATATATAAATCTTAAACCATTATGAACATACTTTCTTTTCTTTGATGTCTTTATCTCTCTTATCTCCTTCGAGGCGTTATAGATCATCTTCGGGACGTGGCGGTGACGGCTGATCCTGCGAACTTGGGGGTGGTGTGAAAATTTCTCCTTCAGTTTTTCACTATATGCAAAGGCCTCTTTCTCTCTTGGTCTTAGCTGCAGCAAGAAAGAACTGATGTATTAATCGAAAGTAACTAATTAACAATCTTTTGAAATGAAACTTTACTTCAATTACTTAAATATTAAACAAAAAAGACAAGTGGATAAGTGACAAGTAATTATTATAATATGTACATCCATAAACCAATTTTGGAATTCTAAATTTCTTTTTTTCCTAAAATAATTCAGAGTGAAATTCACCTTTCTCAATTTCCATTACAAAACCAACTCAAAATCTAAAAAGTTAGAATGCGATAACAGGAATTTAATGATTGTAAGTCTATGAACAATTTTGGATATAGTAAACTGCCATGATTAGTAACTTGCCCTGATTGAGGGTAACATGTTAAAAACTCTGGCTTACAGTTCATAGCGTGACTTTCAAAATGATACAAGGTCAAGTGAAAAGTATCAAATAAAAACCTTACTATGCCTTTTTAAAAATAATAATTAATTGTAGATAAAAATAAATAAAATAATTTTAAAACTCACTGCTCCTATTTAAAATTATAAATAATAAAAAAATATAAATAATTAATAAAACTTTCACTACTCCATTAGTGAATAATATAATATATAATAGATGAAATTAATAATAAATAACTTACCACTCCTATTTTCTCTGATGCCCTCGCCTTCCACACGCGTATGTTCATCTCATCAGAGCCTGACAGAAGATATTTGTTGTCACTGGACCACTTCACGCAAATCACGCGCTGCATGCGCTTCGTGTGATACACCTCCCTGAAAGGCATATCATTGGCTGCATTCAGAACAGTGGACTAACTAGTCCGTGGGTCAAATATGGCCGACCCACTTGAATACTTCCCCACAGGGAATCTATTCAGTGTCGTATGAGCAGATTAGACAGCAAGCATTTTAGTGGATAGCCATATTGGCTCTGAATGCAGTCATTATATCTTATAACACAATTATCAATAATACAGAGCACAGCAAAACTGATGGAACCACAGGCTTTTAGCTTATAGAGGATGCAAAATGAAAGATCCACATATCTGCAACATATAAACAAATAGATATAATTATATAGCATGGTAATTTCAAACATTGCCAGCAATGGGGTGCAATTGCTTCATTTTGAATTGCTTTTCCAGGGTCATCAAAAGAGGGGGGGGGGGGGGGGGAGGAAGGTAAAGAAGCTATTTTCTTTTCCTTGAATCTTAGCCTCCTGTCCATGTCAACCCACCTGTACAGCCATATAACACTAATACCAGACTTCTACTAGATTAATTTTTCTATAATCACCAGTTATCATCTTCACACTATTCAAAATTGAATCAGACAAGCAGTTCTCCTAAGACTACTGGTCCAAAGTTGAAACGGTCAGGGGCAGACAGCATTTTGTTGACTAATTCCAAGATTGTGAACAAAGTGGGAATTTTGACTCCGAGGTCAAAAACCAAAGGTAAAAGGTGAAAAAATATGTGTTACCTGCTGTGTCCCTTATCAACGGGGAAAATTCTGATGGACTTGTCATAGCTTCCAGACACAAACTCCTTCCCAGTGGGGGAATAATCAACATCCAAAACTGTAATTAAGAAATAACTGTGTTTATCAGGTCTCTTTAACTATATTATGTCACACTGAACATTATGCTTTTAAAATGAAGTCTTACTTAATTACAAGTAACCTTAACTTTTTTATCAACTTTACTTGATTGCACAACAAATGATAATATTTTAATATTATGTGAAAACACAAACATCAATTCTAAATTCAGAATTACCATGATGATCCCTTCTAGCACGAACTGTGACAGTAATCTCACCTCAAGACTATGTAATTCATTTCTAAATAATAGTAAATTAATATGACAATAGATGTCAGCACCTACCTGCAGACACGTGGTCCATGTGAATGTTGAGAGGGCGATCAAGTCTCCGCATGTCAAAACTGTACAGACTAGGGGAAAAGTTAAATACAGTTAATATGATATATAAAACATTCAGTTCCATTCATTTATTCATAAAAGAAAACATTTCCACTTTGTAGAGTTTTACAATATATTGTATATATACTTAGCAAGCAAGAGAAAATGAGAGAAAGACGTACTCGACTCGGTCTAGCTAAAACAATATTTTAAAGGAAAATCTTAATATTGTTGTTTAATTGTTTAATTTCACTGTAAAATTATATAGATTCATACTCAATTGCATATTATTTGATAAGGAAAAACTTTCCAAGACTAGGGGATGAGGAGATTATATCCACATACTTGTAATCCTCATTGGCGGCAGTGAACATGAAAGCCTCCATAGGGTTCCATGCTATGGTATTAGAACGCAGCTTAAGAATCACCTGGAACATAGATGGCACTACTGTTGTTGTCTTTCAACAGGAACTCAAACATTTATAGAATCAAACCATCTTTTCCTGTGAACATTAAGTTCAAAGAGTTCGCCTTGCTGACACATCAAGATTTAGCAAAAAAATGGGTTCAGAAAACGAAAAAATTCCAAGAATAAAAAAGAAACACATCCCACTTGTCAAATTTCTGACTTCACCAATATTATCCACTCACTTCAGCGAAAAAAAAAAAAAAATACCAAGAGGGTTCAGATAATGGTGAAAAAAACAACAAAACCCTCACCTTCCTTAGAGGCGCAGACCCCCTCATGTCATATAGTATGATGCTTCTGTCCGAGGCTGTGGCACCAAGAATATGTGTCTGGAAACAGATTTAAAAAAAAAATTAAAATGTAATGAAAGTATTCAAGCAAAATTTTAATGAATGTCTGTTTAGCCAGAGGATCCAGAGAAGAACTGATAAAGAAGGTATGTGCATTTGAGGGGGGGGGGGGGGGATTTTGGCAGACTCCCATGCCAAAGTGACCGAAATAGATGGTGATTTGGACAGCTTGTTGGACGATGGGTATATAACTAAATTTAATCTGGCACAATAACACAAATAATGCACAGTCCTCAAGGGCTATGAAGAATATTGCTGAGCGTCTGTGCGCTATTAGTTTCCTATCATAAGATAAAGAGCTAAACAGAATCTACTACTACCACACACACATACACACAGACACATACACACACACTTGATTAATAATTGGCAAATTTTATGTACTCATTTTTCAATATTTATTTTGTAACGCATATATTTGTCAGTGATCACCGGCCATACCAGTGTGTGCACTTGTATATGCACGTGGGTATGTGGCTGCATGTGTGAATATGTGTGTACGTGTACACGTGTACACGTGTGTGTGTGTGTGTGTGTGTGTGTGTGTGTGTATGCACTCCTGATAGTGTGTTCACATCATACCTCTATGGGGTTAAATTTGACACTGTTCAGACTGTCCACACCCCAGGTGAATGACCTCATGGGCTCTGACCGCTCCTCGTCCCAAATGTCCATCTGTTGACCCGCCGTGGCAAAGACATTGTCCTGCCAATGGTGGTCCATGGCGTGGAAGATTGTCTGGAGAAAAAGGAAGAAAAAATTAAGTACAGAAGAAACAATTCTCCTATCAACTACACACCATGACTGGCATATGTACAGATATATTAAACAAAAGCTTTCAAAGGTGAAGATTCTGTGTCATGAGACTCTAGGGAAGATAACATTGTATTAAATTCTCTGATTTAAATTTTTGAAATTGATATAAATCAGGCCTGGAGACCAGATTCTATTATATCTGTCACCCACCTTGCCCAGGATTGTGTTGGTTGGCTGCATGTGTTCCCCATAACCAGGTTCTTCCATGCTCCACTGCTTAATTATCTTGTCATCTCCACACTGGAAATACATTTTCTTAATCACTGTTTTAGGTTTCATTATTTTTACCATTGCTCTTTCCTTTTCAGTTGCATGAAATAAGGTAACCATTTTACTTAAACATTTTCTGTAAAATCAGTAACACAAGAAGATACAATTCTTTTTATCTAACGTTTGATTTACCATAGCATACATGGCGTCTAAAGGGCATACGTAATGTAAAGGTATTTTGTATTTAGCTATAAATTGTGATTTAAGTATACACACTTACTGAATAAAAATAATCTCCACTTGGGTTATAACACATGCCCCGCACATAGCCTTCGTGAGCAGCTACAGCACGCACACACTTTCTCTTTGGTAGGTTCCAAAGACGAATCTGAAAATATATTTTAGACAATAAATAGAATACAATCAAGATGGAAGGTGTCTCAAGAAAGATTTTCAATAAATATATGACTTTCTTATTCATGCTATCTTATCAACAGTTTGAATGAAACAGCAGAATATTACCCATTTTGATACATCAGAACATCATATCTATAAACTGATCAGGACTATTTTACTGCTATGAAATTTATAATAAAATAACAAAACTAGCGGATACATTCAAGATGCAAGAATTCTCCATCATGCTTTATTTTATCACCAGTCTGAATATTAAATTGCACTCACCTCTCCATCATAAGACCCAGACAGTAATAATGACAGACTAGTCGGATGTTTACACATACAGTGTACACCGTCCCGGTGTCCATCCAGTGACCCAAGAAACGGCTTTGCAAACACCCGCTCTAACTTCGTTGCATTAAGAGCACGTGTGTACTCTCTTGGGGCCTCGAAAGGATGCAGAGCTGGGTCATAATTTCTTGGCACTGAATTGCCATAAAAGAAAGTTCACTTGTAATTACTATTTATTATTCAATTGGTGGGTTACCAACAAAATCGAATCATTTCTGGTGTATCCTGATTATTAAAATTGAAATCTGTCTGTAACTTTTTGACTTAGGCTTTTATTTAGATAATGCAACAAACCAGCAAATGAAAAAACATAGCCCCCTTGGTGAAAGTAAAAAAGATAATTAAATAAATAAATAAATAAATAAATAAATAAATAACAATTAGTATTAAATCTTAGATCATAAATCTGTTTGACCTCAAATTTACTGATTTCATAATAAAGAAGGGTGTCATATTCTGGACTTAGACATGAACAAGTAAAATTTTTGGTCAATAAACTAAAAATGGCATAAATTTTAATTTTACTTTGATAATGTCATAATAATTATGCAGAATTCATATCAAGAGGTACTGTAATCAAATGATTTATTGTTCGTGAAGCAAACTTTATCTGAATTTGACCTTAAACAAAAGAAAACATTTTCCGACAAAATGAAAACATTTGTTCATGGAATAAAAATTAAATGCATTTTCATATTTCACGTGGCACCAATTTCTGTTGAACCGTCTTATTAATTAGTTGCACTTGCAGGCAGTATTTCTTACATTTTTGTATATCCCGCTTGGTTTCTCGCCGAAAATCATCTGGATTTCTAGAGAGAACCTTGACCTTCATTTTATCTTCTTAGTTAACACAATAACTCACTCTCAAACAGGAAACAATGTTTTTACCACAATTTTCAGCATGTTTGAAAACCGGAAAACGTGTTGTAAAAACTGGGTCAAGTTTTTATCCACTTTCAAGTCTCCATTCACGAAAGAGCTTAAAGACAAGAAACGTGTGGTGAATCGAAGAGGCAGCTAAGAGGTTCGATTTATTTTGGATTTAGAGGCAGATAAGCTTAATTTTGTTATAAGCATAGTTTTAAATTAAGGTAATCTGTGTGATCTTACTTAATTCTTGTATTTTTTTTGTTTTGATCCATATAATGGTAAGCACAGGCCCTCAGAGTATTAAAATTTCAAAGGCCAAACCGCAAACGCTACAGTACAGTCTATGGTATCCTTCATCAGTATCAGTTCCTGAGAAGTTAGAGTAGAAGTTACAGTTTATCACGAATAATCATGCTTTAATTAGTGTTTGTTACACTAGTACTAAAGCAAGTATAGAAGGCAAAGATATTATTCGTCATGCTTGTAATTTTACTCTGCTTTGTTTCCATTTTCAGTATTCTAAATATTATATTTAAAATTAAATGGTACATAGACTAATAATACCAGTATGGATAGAAGTGCACAAAGAGCTCCGAAACGCAAGCGCTGGTGCCGATTACAGAAGGAGGCCCCATTCCCTATTCCAATAGCAACTATAACTAATGAACCAGCAAGTGCCAGAAATTGGTATTATTATGAAGGTGAGAAATACCTTTCAGATTGGCAAGAAGCCTAATTGTTAATATAAAAAATCCTTTCATCACACCATTATTACCTTGCATCAGCATCATTATTATTGTCTAAGCTCTTATTTGATGTCATTCTTGAAAAATTTTACATTCACTAAAATATATTATTCATGATGTGTTTTTCAGCCCAAAAGTGCATAGAAGATAAACATTGATATTCAACCATATTTTGTTTATATCCCTCAGGTGAACTTGTGGGCACATCAGTGTTCATCAAGCACAGTGGGGACATGAAACTTATCTACAATATGGTAAGGCGTTACTCATATACTATCAATGTAGTAGTTCAAGAGTAATTTTGAGCCAAAAATGTGGAGGCAGTGGACAGAATAGATCCTAGAACAGGGTGTGTGTGTGTGTGGGTCGGTCTCTGTCTCTCTCTCTCTCTCTCTCTCTCTCTCTCTCTGTTTGTGTGTAAATGTATATTTTTTGATATTCAATATATAGCAATGTGTGTGTGTGTGTGACAGAGAGAGAGAGAGAGAGAGCTAAAGAGAGCTACAGTGAGAGAGAAAGAGAGATTTTGTGTGGTTTTGTCTATATACTCGTAAACACATAAATGTCACTTGTGTGAGTGAGATATACCAGTATATATAGTGGTTTATATAGGAGAGAGAGAGAGAGAGAGTAATGTGTGTTAGTTGAGATGATTTTGAATAGATCACATCTAAAACAATCCTCTTTTATTAAACCAAAAGATAAGCATTAGTACTATATATCACATATATCATACAATTTTTCCACAAAGTACTAGTAGTTTTACAGTTTCATATCTTGCATATTTTAGGGTTTCTTTGGGAAGGGAACCACTTCTCGCTGGGGCATCAGAAGTTTACAGAGCCGGGCTAGACAAGACAGGGACACTTTGCAAGTTATGAAGAAACACAGGTACAGGATTTACGTAGCATTTCAGTATTAGTGGACATCCAGTTAAGGTAATATTTCATTCAGTACAGATGCATATTTTTTAGGAATTTTAAAATTTATTACTCACCTAGCTGACAGTGTTTGTCAGTAGATGATGACTATACAGGGCCAGAGGCAGGGTGGGGTGGGGGAGGGGGGATTTAGGGTGGGGTGGGGGAGGGGGGATTTAGGGTGTGGTGGGGGAGGGGGGATTTAGGGTGGGGTGGGGGAGGGTGTGGGGAGTTGCAATGGCAGTTGACAAGGCAAACTGGTGCTACACACAAATATGCACTGCTTTATATATACGAAAAGGCCCAGATTTAAATTTGATCTATACAGTATGGGATAGAAACCAAGGACAGGTGCACTTCTCAGCAATATTTCTTCATACACAAAGTGACTATAATAAAACTTTCTTTATGACAGATTATAACAGTACAATTTATAGCAGTTAACATGACATTGAATTCTTTATTATTCTTCATATTTTGCATATCAATGTCCAATCATTTTCAAAATAGACTCTGAGTCAGTAATTTTTCACTTTGCAAGCCAAATAGAACTAGGCTCTTTTAGTCGATGAATCAACTTCAACTGTCCAGCCTGACTGTCAGGTCAAGTTTTCGTTGTTGGTGCCTGGTTTTCGTTGCCATATTTAGCTAGCAGGGCAACAATACCGCCCCCTTTAGGCATGCACATACAGTCTTCTTGGGCGGCATCTCTGGGACAGGGTTTCCAGTTGTACTGGAGGCAGTGCATCACGCCACAGCAGCCATCTTGTTTTTTGCCACACGGTTTGCCTTGTGGGATGCGATTATGGCACTGGAAGGATATAAATTACGGATGTTTTACTAAGTCTTCATATTCTTTGTAGCCTGATCAATACAGATTAATAATACAAATGTTTATGTTTAATACATTTCATTTTGTATTGATTGAAATACGTTTTAAGTACAGATTACCAGTAAAAGCATCCCAAAATTTAAAAAATTAACAATGATATTAGGTTAAGAATAATGCAGTTATACCAATTTACACCAGTAAAGGCCCCCTGAAATAAAAAATTAACAATGATATTAGATTAAGAAAAAATGCAGTTAGGAGATTTTTCCGTCTATTGGCAGATTTCTGACTTTCTGGGACCCCAAAATATCATTTTTGAGATGCAGAGGGCCCCCTGGATCCCACGCCATATTTTCAAAATTTTTCACTAAATGGCATTCTCATCCCTGAAAATGGCTATGATTTTGCCATAAATTTTCAGAACCATCTTCTTATAAAATATCTTTAACTTTTTTATGTCTTTTTTCATTGTATACCACTGATTTATCCTTTCTCTGTGAGTGCCTCAATAAATGATAATAAAATTTAATACAACAAAGTCAGACATTGGGTTTCAGCGCTTGAATGATTCCATAAAGATCAAGATTAAAATAAATCCATTTCCACGGATTCTACAGCAAGTTGTGCACTGATGATTAAAAATCAATAGTTTTCTTTTGCTGTGAATTTTTTTTTTTTTTAAGTTCAATATCACAGCATTTAAGATGGCACATTGGAGACTTACCAATGTAAATATAAGAAGAGTAAACACTTACAGATTTCACATTTAGCTAAACTCACAAGGCCTAATTTTGAAAAATTGTTTCAATGTGGAATATGATTATTTAAAAAAAGTAAGGGGATTTGAATTAATTCCTTGCTTCTGTTGCTTTTTTTCAGCAAAGAATTGTCTAGAGGAATATCTTCAATCATTTATCACTTTAAACAGAACTTAAATTTTATCATCAGTCTTTTCATGGACGTCTTCATTTTTGAAATATTTAATCTTATTCTTTTTTTTTCATAATTAATATACATTATCTCTTATAAATTATTCTTCCAGATTTTCTTTCTGCAATGTGCAAACATCTTGAAAAAAGTCAGACATTTTATTTATCACTTGATACAAAATAAATCACTTATCACTATAACGGGACATTTTTCAAGTAGTAAATGATTGAACATGTCCCTCTTGTTTTTAAGGGATATTAGAACCACAGTCTGAATGACAGAAGCCATTTATGGTTATAAATTATTCAGATGTGCGGAAAAGCTAATGGCAGTATGGGAACTTGTCATGGGATAGCAGAGTCACTCTACTGTTTGATCTCTTAAACTCTAATCTTGTAATGGAATAATGGTACTGGTTTATTAAGTTAATGTTTTGCCTTGTCAAGTTAAGTTGATCAATTATACGCTGCATGCTCGTGTCTGGAGGAAAGGGTTCTCAGATATTTTGGTTAAAAAAATGTCGAATGAGCATCAGTTCTGTTCCTAAAGAAAGAGGGGATTGTTTTTTTATGTTCATTAGTGGACAAGAGCAAAAGAGCAAGAAAAAAAAAAAAAGAAAAAAAAAAAAAAAAACACCAGTAACTGCAGACTCCAAAAATAACAAAATATACATCATTACCTCTGTCAAAGAAAGAGCTTAATATGTAGTTGCTGGTATTTGTTTGTCATTAGTTGTCATTATTTTGTCATTAGTTTGCTCATTAGTGGACATTTAGGAAAAAGAAGAAAGAAAAAAAAAAGAAACTGTCTTCTTCCAGAATACCAATTATTTACTGGGCTAACCCTAAATTGTTGTCTTTTTGGAATATGTCCCCGTAGAATACCTTAAATGAGTTTTAAACGGACATTGATGGAAATATCAGCATCTCAAGTGAATCAAACTTGTCAGCAAATTCTTCTTGAGCAGATAATCTCGTCCCGTGGGTATACATGTTGCTTTGAGCAGGATGCTAGTCAAAATGCCCAAGCCAAGTTGTATGGGTATTGGCTTACAGTGAACTTCTTATCTCTATATTCAGATTTTGAGAGTAAAGAAATATTTGGTGCGGCATTTTAATAGGCTGTACAAAATATACATTTATGCTGTCTCATTTTCTCTCTCTCTCTCTCTGTACACAAAAAATTGTCCATTTTCTCATTTTTTATGGTATCACCTTTATTTTCTGAAGATTCTGAAGATATCTGTGAAAAAAAATCCACATAATCCAGTGCATCTCCATAGGCTAATTATCCAATGAGTTCTTATTTAAAGACTGGGGTCTTATCTAATTTTTTTCTGAATATATCTTTTTTCTTTGCATTTAAGAAAAATTTTATTATTATTACTATAATAACTTATAGGTGTTAATTTATTGATTGCATCACATCTGATTTTTCCCTGATCCTAATTGCCAGCTTTCTTTTATTGATAAAGGGTGGTAAATTTCTCTGCATACTAACAGAGTGGTAGTTTTGCTCCAACCTACACTTAGAGTACTGATGTGTTGAAAAAAATGAAAGAAGCTGGAGATTATTCTTCATACTTACAGGGTCATATTTTTTCTCCCCCGCTGGCTTCACTCTGTGTATATGTTGGAAGCCTGCTGGAGGTCCACAGATACATTCTTTGTAAAGGGCGTACACTGGACATGCTGGCCAGCTGTCTGTTTCCTCATCGTAGGTTATACATTCCATCATCCCGCAGCACTGGTCACGCACCTGTCCGCAGTAACGCCCCAGTGGCAGCGTTTTGTAACACTGAATTTGATTGAATAAAATGTAAAAATTAAGAGAAATTATTTGATAAGGAGGGGCATGTTTGAAATATCTGTACGATTAGATAATATTTGTTATAATCAGGAAAAGTCACGTAGATTAAATACAATTTTAATCAAAAAATTGTTGCGCAAGTCAAAGCACTTTGGTATCATCTTGTAAAACTGCATCAAATGAGTTATTAAAAATATGTTGCTATACAAACAGTACAGACTTACTTATTCTGAAGTCTATTTCAAATTTTCTTTTCATTTATTTGCAGAGTTTTCTCTTCTCGGGATTTCAAGAACTTTTAGATCCAGCTTTTTAGTAAATTAAAAGAGGCATATCATCTGTTTAAGAACTTGAGATATGTTGAGGATAGATCCCAGATGAATTTGATTGAATCTCTTTGTAATCTTGTCTGATAATTTACATGGTTTTCATCTAAAAAAATAAATTTCCTGATCAATAAAGGAGACAGTGAATAAAATTAGTCTAAGATCTTTCCTTATTCAAGGAACTGATACAGTAAATGAGATTTGCTTTGCCCTTAGACTTTTTGTCCTTACACTTTTTTTCACATTGAAGGTTATGTGTATCTAAGGGCCTGTCCAGAAGAAATTTTTTACACGGACTGATGGATTTGTGCATCAGATATGTCCAAACCCACTTGTAATCTTGCTGTGTAACCCAGCGGGGAAGCCATTGGGGGATAAAAGTTAGTACATTTGGGATGAAAAGGGACAAGATATTTTACAGTTAGTTATTTTGTCAACATATTTTTTGAGCATGCTCTGTTTAAAAGAGGCAAAAAGTCAGAATTATGAGTACCTACTTGATGCACTTTCGGCTTTTGACTTTTGACTTGAGAGTTCAGCCCACCCCCTTGATAATGTTAATGTTAATATTGCATGAGAAACAGACTTTGTAGCTGAACATGGCAAAAAAGGCCTTTTTATACAGGAATAAGAACCTGTTGATATTTTTCTTTCTCTTTTCATATTGATCATGTTGGTAGCCAGAGGTTGAAGTGCACCCAGAATTCCGGACTGGGTCTCTGGTCTCTCTCCTCTATTATCGACAACTGTCTGCCATTGCCTTAAATTGTAACTGGGAATGGCAGAGACATGCTCTAAAACACAGGGTGTTGATAAAGGACCAAGCAAACCTGTACACTACCAGTACTAATTCCTTTAGATTACGCAGAGTTTTCATTTATTAAATTTGGGGTGATTTTGGATAAGGCAAGTGCTTCCCTTGTCTAAGTGAATAGAGTTTATTATATTTTAAAATGTTTTTTTTTTGTAAGTTTCAGCAAAATTAATTACATTTTTTGACATCAGATATGGATTTGTTTCATTTTTCATAGTTAAAGTTGAAACTTTGAAGTATTTGGCAAAAATAAATAGATATAAAATAAGTAATTTATTTTTAAGTAGCTGTGATTTTAAAATGGTAAAAAATGCATATGAATGTATAAATAGATGAGTTGCAATTGATAAAATACCAGTTATTGATACATTGCTTCTCATGATTTTAACTATGCCTACAGTACCCCTGAAGTGTCACATCATTGACATGATTTCATATACTTACCAAAGCCCCTAGTCTCCTGTACTGCTTGGTTTTCTCCAGATTGTTGACCTTGGTGTCTTGTCCATCTACCACAACAGTTGTTGCCAAAATGATGATGATAACAATAACTGCACAGAAGTGGACATGTATACCATTATTTATCCAGTGCCTCCTGGGGTATATGATAGAGCTATGAGCATGAACAGACGTGGTGCACATTTGGAATATTTTTGAAACCAGCATTGTCCTGTTGATTTGGCATTTAAGGAACAACAGTCTTTTAAATGTATTTGCACTGTAGTTGCTGCTTTTGAACTAAGTTTTCATGTCTTTGTCTTCCACAGAGTTTCATAATTCTGCTATTTCCTTTCAGTTGGTGACTGCAGTTCATCATTTAAATTCCAAGAAATAGCCTGACTGCATGTAACTATGAGGTCCATTATGTTAACAGCAACAAACGAAAAGACTCTAGCTTTGACTAGAACATGCTTTTTTCAAGGAAACTAGGTTGATCATTAATTTATGGTCCATCTGTGTAACTGGTAACAACTTAAATGGTATCAAAGCGGTCTTGTTTGTTTAGATGTGAAGAATTTCAACTTCCAGTCTTGAGTATTCCAGCTCATTAGAAACAGTGAAACATCCCCATTTATTTATATCCACCTGCTCATATCCACTTGAAGAAAATGATGAAAATTTATAACATGGTCTATTTTATTCCTCTCTTCTCATTAGAAGCAGTGTGTTAATTCATATCCACATTGTGACTCAGTCGTTTTCCTTTCTTCTCATTAAAAACAGTGCACATTCTCATTCAAGTATGACCACTTGAAGAAAGTTAGAAATAAATGTGATCTTAACAGTCATATTCCCTTCTTCTCATTAGACATTGTACATTCAATTGATTCGTAGACACTTGCTGTTTGCCTTTAAGAGATTGAAATAGAAACGTAATAATGATCCGGTGCTCTGTCTTCACTAATCTCCACAGGGATTACAAGCTGCTAAATATGTGCGAATAACTAGACTTAAGTCTTCCTGTGTGTTGACTCCCTAGACCTTATTATCTTTGGCGTGCACATGGATGGTTCTTAAATAATCAATGAGCTGAAATATTTTATTATGAAGTATAATTAGTGTGTGATGTTTCTTTGATGAAACTGTAAGTAATTTGTTGATTTCAGATAGATTTCATAATTAAATACATGTATAAGGCATATGAGTAGAAATATTAATTTGGAGTATTGTCTGAAAACACCACACATTGAAATAATCAAGAATGTAGTTATATATATTAATTTAATAAAATTTACTCTTTTTCATTTTTATATATATATAAAAACTTATTCTTATGATATTGAGACATTTCACTGCAAAGCAAATTATCCCTATTCCATTTAGTCTTCACCCCCAATTTACTGTGAGAGTATCATCCAACCGTGACCGCATACAAACCTTTCTATTCACACTCATTGGCAATGATCTTTGTGTTCCATCTTCAAGTTATTGAATTAACATGCGGATGTAAACAAAAGGTCGGTGAAGCCTGCCCCTAAGTGTCAGTTATTTTGGCATTATGATCCCCTGGGCATTGGATGGAATGATGGATGTTGTTACTTAAAATATATATATCCTGTTTCTGAATAACTTTCAAGTAGACTGTTATGCTTTAGGTTCCAATCCCAATCACCTTGTGATGATAAAATGTAATACTGCATATATAAAATTAGATGATACGTTTTTGACTCGACTTTGATCCAAATTATAGAACAAAAATGACAGTTATTAACTATAAATGATTTATACAAATAAATAAGTACATAAACAAATAAAATTTAAAAAAAAAAGAATTAAAAGGAAACACCCGGTCACAAATAGCCTAATTTTATATTTTGCCATACAGGTAAGTGAAAAAATTTATGGCACTGGAAAATATAATTTTGTTTCTTATTTGCAAGGCGAAAGAAATATATGACTAGTGCATGTACATGATTACCTGTAAGTTACTTGTAATACTAACTTAAGTATTCAGATTACATCTAGATGACTAACTAAATCCAGAGATATTCCTCATCAGGAGGAAAAAATTATCCACGTAACAAACAGACATACCATCTTCACAGAGAAATCCGTGGTTGGTTAAAAGCACATTTTCACTGATGCATACTCTCTTTTTAACGACTAACTGGAGTCGTCAAATAACATCTAAATAATTTACTATCTCAGGAAGTATTTAAATAATTCTCGTTGGGAGCTGGGGGAAAAAATCATTTTTGTGACATTTTGGCAGACATCTGTCCTAAAAACAACAAATGTGCAGTTGATATGTATGTATTGATTGAATTAGGAGGTTTGTGTCTCAGGGGAGGCGGGATTGGCATAGACGCATCATTTCACAAATTACTCCTAAGAATGCAGCAGTGCAACTATTGAGTAGGCTTAGCGTGGAGGGTCCCTTTTTTCTTATTTTTGAAGCTGTGGCATTTTGCTTATAATTGCAAAATTGAATCCTTATGGGGCTAGTAACAGTGATAAAAAAGGCTTCATTTCATCATCTATTTTAAGTTGTATCTTCTATGACAGTATTTCTGTTATTCCTACAGCCATGCTTTGAAATTACTGTATTTTCATTTATCAGAATGATAACAAAAAAATCCATCAATGGCGCTAAGCAGCTAATTGAGTAATAACAGATAGATCACAAAGATGTATAGGTTTCAATTCTTATGTCAGTGAGACCCAGAGAAGTTCACAGCTTTTCCAGTGGAGGAAGGAATTAGCATACAGATGAGGTCTTTTATAAGATTATTGCGAATTCCCTGGTGGGATTGTGAAGACCTTTTTCAGGGAAATAGCTACTAATCAATCAATAGGGCGGCAATGCTTAACGTAACAGTGAAGCACTGGCTTCATTTACAATTTTAGGTTGTATTGGATTTGTATGGGCCATGCAAATACCTTGTGTGGGAAAGAAACTGAATTTATTTTTAAAGGAAAATGGTATCACAAACTCATCTTTTTAAATGAGAGTTGCATTGGATGAGGTAACCACAATTGCAAAGGATTTTTTTCTGTATAATTTTTTAATAAAACTTAATAATCTTTTATCAGCTTTTTTTTTCATAAATCAAAATATAATGCATGCCTTTGTGTTTGAAGGATCATATTAAAAAAAGCAGTGAGATCAGATGAGAGGACTTTCAGTTTTCGATAAATAATAAGAGTTGTATTTGCATGTATTTTGACAGGTACTTGCGCCACTGTAGATGGAGAAAACAGGCAGATTTCCAGGCAGGTAAAATGCCAGCTGAAGAATACATAGACACTGACATGGAGGAACAAATGACACGGAGTCTAGATCAAAATAGAATTGCTGAAGATGGAATGAAGAAAATGAAAGGGGAAGAAAATGGTGATTTCTGTTGAAATGTCTTACACATTTTTAATTGAAATTTAGGTTTGATAATTAAAGTAAAATTGCCTCTTTTGTGTGAAAACTGAAAATTGATTTGAATTTGGGAAATTATTGCCTTTTGAATTTGTAATTATTTTATCAAATATGTAAAAATATGATTCATTATACTTAAGCAGATGTTGCTATTGGAGATGAAATTATTTAAATTATTACCTATTTAAATAATTAAAATATTTTAATTTAAATATATTTTTCTTATCCCAGTTAATTCAGCTGCATCAGAGGATCAGGAAAAGAGCATTTTCTCAAAGGGCAATAGGCATTCAAAACAGTGGGGGCAAAACAGTGCCCTTGGTATGTATAATGATGAATCAGAATGGGGTCAAGGCCAATCTAAAAGCAATATAGACAGTAACAGTTCAGATTACAAATCTGAAAAAGAAATGGAATTAGCTCAAGGTGAAGGTCATCCCATGGACTGGAACAACATAAGTGAGAAGGAATCTGAGGACTTTTGGGCAACACCAGAGGTAAAATCAGAATACTCATCATGGGATGCGGTAGATGAAAAGGATGCTGAAGAGTTTTGGGGAACCTCAGATACAGAGGATATACAGGATAAGAAGACAGAATTAGGTCAAGGCCAGTCAAGGTCACCATGGGGTAAAGGTGGCACAGATACTGGAACTATGTCATGGGATGTCTCTGGAACTGTTCAGAATAACAATGTTTTAGGTGGAGTTGGTGAAATAGGCCAAAATAAAAGCAATACTGTAGTACCATCAAATAAAACTTACGCATTAAGTCAAGGTCAAGATCACTCAGATGTCTCGGATAATAATGATTCAAGGACATCTGCTGAATTTTGGGCCAATGTGGCAGATGGTGTTTCTAATACAGACGGTTCACATGAAAATAATAAAACAGATTTGTCAGAAAAAAGTACCATTAATGACAAAAGCACTGACACCTCAACTTCCAAGTCAAGGTCAGATCACATGCCACAAGATGGCAATGCTTTGGAGTTCAGTACAGGAACAACTCATGGTCTAAAATCACAGAAAGATTCACAGTTATCAAAATTAAATAGTGATATTGTATCAGACGAAAATGAGAAATCACAGCAGGCTTTTAAACAGTCAGACAATGGAGAAAACTGTGAGGATGATAATATAGTGGATGAAAGATCACTGATGAATGACCCAGGTGGTGAATTATATGTTGTAGAGAGCAGTGAAGAGGAGGAGGAGGATGTCACTATGGCAACAAGATTGAAATGGAGGCCGTGTCAGAAAAGGGAAGAATACAAAGTCAAAGAATATTTGTGTCTTAGTTTAGAAGAGGTAATTGAGTTTGATTTGAAACTTATTTAGTTGGATCAATTTTGCAACTTTAATCAAATTAAAGAAAGATCATTAAATTATGTTATCAGAAACTATGTTTAAGCTTTGATGTTATACCAGACAATTTTATCTAATTGCAAATAGCAAAATTGAAATTGAAATTTATTAAAAAAAGAAAGTGGAATTATATAAATGTTACTGACAGTATTGACTGATTTATATCTTAAACACTCATTAGTTCTTATTTCTTGTTTTTGCCAGGCATTTTTTCTATCCTATGGTTTAGGTTGCCTCGTTGTACATGATGAATCTAAGGTAAAAATTACTTGCCAATGAAGTGAATCTGGGTGCACAAGATATTACATATTAATTGTTTACAATATTCATCCTGTTTCACTTTTCCAAATTATCATGATACAAAGTGATGACTGAATTTTATTAACAAATTCAAATGTTATACCAGGATATCTTACTCTTTCAACACCCTATGGTATAACATTTTGAGGTAGTGAATTAAATCAAATTAGGACCAGTTCTTACGTTAAACTTAGTTTTGTTAATTTTCACTTGCAGAAGAAACTAAATCTGACAGAAATGTGGCGCAAGTTTTGCTCAAGACAAAAGAATTTCCTGAACAACTACATTGCATATCATTCCCTAAGAAGTAAAGGATGGGTGCCAAAAACTGGAATTAAGTATGGGGCTGAATTTAGTAAGTACCCCACACAACAGAGTACAAAGATAATCAAATATTATATTGCTTTGGGTTATGTTTATGTTTTGTACACCTTAAAGTTATTTGTTACTCACATTTTTTTGTTGAATTTTTTTTTTCATTTTTTTCTTTGCAAGTTTAGATATTATAAATAAAATTAATGTATTGTCCAGATCTAGGTTACTCACTCAAATACTGTAGTCTCAGATTTAAAGACATGACTTTAAAAACTTGGTCAAGTAAATAAAAAAAAAAAATACATTTCTCTTTCAGACTAGACACAAAATAAAGGCTGTTTTATTTTCCAGTTCTGTACAAACAGGGCCCTCCATTTTATCACTCCTCCTACTCCGTGGTGGTACTTCCTGTGAAGGAAGAAAACTTGGAACAAGAGAAGCTGCTCTCCTGGACCTCACTGGCAGGGATGAACAGGGTCACTGAACAGGTGTCCAAGGTCAGTGGGAACATATTCTGTTTTTTTTTTTTTTAACAGTGAAAAACAGATGTACAATATTTTACATACAAGTAGCCCCTGCTTCTATTGAGTTTTTTTTTTTTTTTTTTTTTTTTTTTCGTGGGGGCGGGGTCCATTTATACATTGGGTTCTATTTTTGTGCAGATACAAGCAGAGTTCTGATTGTGACTCATTAATAATTCAGAAATGAGCTTTTTCTGTGGAAAAGCAGAATTTTGCATTTTTAAATTCAATTCTGATGGTTCTTGAGATTCATAATGGTTAGGTGTTGGGTCCCATGATAAATTTTTACGAAGGTTTTTTTTTTTTTTTTTTAATCTAGGCTCATGTCTGATAATTAGAATGGGGGTAGGGGGTTCAAAGGAGTACAACTCTGTGTGTATTTCATTTCATGTGATGTCAATAATGTTTAATTTAGTTTAATTTTTCCTTCACAGAAGAAAAAAGCTTATTATTAGTAAGTCACAGTCAATCACAGTTATTTCAGTCAAGACAAAGGAATTTTGTATTTTAATAAAATTTAAAAATTCTTATCACTAACTGGCTTTTACTTTCACATTCTTGTAGGAAGTTTTGCTGTGTTATGTAATACGACCAAGAGGAGTAACTGATGAGGATCTTAGCTCTCCAGCTTGCGTTCCAAAATTTAAGATAATGGTAAAGTCTCTACTGAATTTTGTTACCATTAGGGGTTTTTGATATGTCACTTGCTATAATGTTTTTAAGGACTTAAAGAGATAATTTTAATGTGCAAGGAGCTTTGAAAAAAAGGGAAAAGGAATTTCCTCACAATGCATTTGGCAGGTAGCAGTAATAAACTTAATTTAAGTATTTGCTAAGAGGGCAAATGAGCATTTTCCAGTGTGACAGTTTTATCCAACAACATAGATAAATAATTCAAAAGTACCTTTTAGCAGCAAAACATTTTTGTATTTTTAAAATATTGATTCAGGTTTCCTGTTCAAACTAAAAATGCTGAAATTGAGATGTAAAATTATAACTGGATGCCTCTTTATTTTCATTGGAAAAAAATGTGAAAATGCTCCCATGTATTCTGCTTGACAAATTTGATAAAATGATGCATAATCAAAATTAATGTATTTTTGTATTCCCAGGAGGTCATAATTGAAAGGTGGGTGGCGCCACAGGAGAGAGATAACCAAGGAGAACAGCAGTTTCCATGAAGGCCAGACCAGAGGGATATGAAGAAAAACAATAATCAGTAACTTTGGTTTACAGAATAACAAAATATGACTTTTTATACAAAGTCGGATCATGCTATGAATTTTGCTGAAAAAATGTTATCTACAAAGAACACAAATAAATTAGTTTGGTGTGACAGACCTGGGAGAAAAAGAAACCCAAGCGAGCAGCAGTCATTAATACTTTTCCTCAGGGAGTGAAAAATTCTTAAACGTGATATAGAATTTCAGAAATAAAGAAAAGTGTTTACTATATTTTCTTGGGCAAGTTGCCTTTAGGTTTCCTCTAAACCATTCTTTCTACAAAATGTGGTGGAAGGTCAGTAATTTTCCTAGGGCAAAATCCCACTGGATTCTAGGAAACAAAATTTAATAATTGCAAGTGTAACAAACTCAGGAAATAAACTGAATGCATTCGCTTAAACTAAAAGTAAATACAAATTTATTCTAAATTATATACATGTGAATTTGGACGGACTAAGCTCTGTGCAAAGTAATACTGTATTAATATGATAGTAAACAGGCACTAAGAGAAAAAATTATTACTTAAAAAATTACCCAGTATACATCATGATGTAAAGAATATTTTAAAAACACATTTACAGAATATTCACAGTATCTGACGGAAATAAATATGCTTATCCAAAAGAAAATGTCAGTGTAAATAATCCTTTTACTTGGAATGAGATGTCATCATTATCACCAAATATTTCCCCAATTTTTCATCAGGTGGCAGCACAAGATGAGTAAAAATTCTCAACAGATGGCATCACAAGTTAATTTCAGATCAACTCCGAAGTCTCTCATCTGCTTTGGGCAATTAAAACGAACAACTTTTTGGGATGGAAAGGTCTAGTATGTTTTCATTTGTAGAATTCAAATATTACCCATATGGGCTGAATAATAAAATATTTTTGTGACCAACAATAAACTTAATTTTTCTTTGAAACTTATTGCTCTTATTTCTTCCATTTCCAATTTTTTAAAATGAAGTCTCTTAGGCTGTGGTGACATTTACTTGTTCTTTGGAGCAATGATACCCTCAAGTTGTGTCTGAAATGCAAATATAAAGAAAATTATTTTTGCTGCAAATATTACATTTAATGACTTGAATACCCAAATAGATTATCACTAACAAAGTAACAATGATGATCACAATGCTAAGAAAAAACATAGGGTTATGTGATATATAATATTGATTTTGACAGTGTAAAATATGACAACATCAAGTTCAGCGTCTAGTGTGTGCGTTAAATGATACTGCCACAGATGCATTTTCACTTGTTAACTAACACTGTGTTAGGAGAGCCTTACAATTGTTACAGATGTACAAAATACTCATCTGAAGATTTCTTGACAACAAGTTGATTCAATAATTCATTCAAAATTTACATTACTGGATCTGCATCAATAACTGTGTATTGTGGTAAATCCACGTGTTATCAGCAAAAGCTTTCAATTTGTGAAAAAAAAACAATGCTAGTGTTGTCACAGTAAAAATTTCTGTACATCTCGTAAATTGATTTAAGGAAGAATAATTATCATAATATATCATAGATCTGCAAACTGTCTCTCTTACCTTGAGCTGCTGGTTTGTCCTCTTCAGGAACTGAATTTCTTCCGTGTGTTTCTTCTCCTCCACAGCTCTCTGCTCTGCGGCTCTCTTCTCAATCTGCTCACACTTTGCCTTCAGCTCGTTCACCTGACGCTCCAGGTCACGCTTGTCATTTTCAAGCTCAGCAATCTGAAGTAACAGTGTGCAGATTATGAAAGGGAAAGCTCAGCTAGCAAACACTAATTACTTATAAAATATGTGAAATACTGATCTCAGAAAATGGTATATATTTCTGGACTTTTTTTTAAAAAGTGAAAACAAAAGATTACTGATACATGCTATATGATAATTTTACTTGTTCCAGTTAACAATACGATGGAAGGTCAAATATATTTCTATATATTGTATACATTATACATTCATTTCTACACATTGTATACATTTCTGGATTTCTTAGCAATAAGTCCTAAAATTTAGTACTTGTGACTGTGACAATACTATGGATTATTGATTTTAATTGAGTGCTTGTGAAATGAGAAGGACATAGTCCATAGTATTGTCATAGTCACAAGGACTAATCTGAGGACTCTGTCCTTCTCATTTCGCAAGTACAGTACCTGATGGAAATCCAAAATGCAGACTTTATGAAAATGGGTTCAAGCTTGTAAAGAAGAGATATAAAACTCCAAGGCATTGCAGTATACTTAAAATTTTGTTTTCATGGGCTTCATGAAACTTACCTCAGACTGGTTTATGTGGGATACTGAACTCAAATTTAAAAGCATAATGGCGATTCACATATAATTGCATATATAATTTTCTAATTTTTTTCTCATAACATACCTTCTTCTCCATGTCAGCCTTGCCCTGTTCTGCCTGCAGAGCTTTGCGCATGCCAAATGCCACGCTGCTCTCGTACAGAGTCTGGTAGGCTGCAATGGTCATGCGGATCTCGTCCCTGACGCGGAGCAACAACAGCCCCCTCTCAGCGCAGTTGATGGTCACCTGTCTGATCAGCTCATCTGTGGAGAACAAACAAGAGGATGTGAATAGAACTGTTACAGATGTCATTTCAGAGTGCACTTGACCAAGATGAAACTTGTTTTGATGAGACTGGGTTCTACTCTCTTTCCAACCAAGGCAATAGTAATTCAATTGAAATGTCACTTTTTGAATTTATTATTTCTTTGTTTAGATTTTAAAAAATTAATAAATCCTAACCCGAGCACTGTGAATGTGAAAGAAAAAAATTCAACATTGTTGTATTGAATATAACACCAGTTAAACTTTGACTGATTTCATTCATATGTTTAAATTGCCTCAGCATTATAATTTGAAGAATGCATGTTATCAGAATCCTCACCAAAGCACTGTGAGTAGAGCTCTCTCCTGACAGGACATATCCCAGTCTCTCTGGCCTGTCTCTGCTGCAGCCTTCTGTCCAGTTCTTCCTGCAGGTTGACCACGTCCAGTCTGGTAGCCGGAGTGCTGGACACCTGCTGCACCCACAACTGACCATTCTCTGTCCACTCCCTATGTGTATGAGACAAAAGGTCATTTAATATAAAGATGACCACTGTGGCACATCTATACTTCTGCATGTCTATTTTTGAATGTTTTAAGAATCATATTGAATCTATACTTTTCCAAAATTATGGTAAAAAAAAAGAAAACCAAAGACAAATGTGATGGAAATTGAGCCTCTTTTTTCTTTGAAAGATTATAATTTCAAGTTGGAGTTCAACATTTTATTTTGTAAACAATGAATACAAAATTTTGTTCATTGTATGTAAATAAATCAATAAACCACTGTAGGCAATCCAATCAAGTAAGTAGTCACATTTGAATACTCTAGTCATCTATTAATTTATTAATTCATTTACGTATAATTTTTTTAACAGTGCACTTTAAATAAAATTCTCAATCAAAATGTCCTTAGTCACCTTGGTGGCAGGATTGAGTTCAGGATCTCATCTGTCTGCTGTGCTGCTTTAGCATCAATGGGAGGCACGGCTCCTTTCTTCCCTCCTGGAGGTGAAGGCACTGGACCCTGGTCTGGTGGCTGTGGAGAACTGACCTTCAGTGCTCTTGCCTGCAAAAAATATAAATATGAAAGAATACATATACTGTAAATATATATACAAGTAAATATATAAACTATACTAAAGGATAAATAAGGGGACTAGGGCAAAACCACTTTGTAGTAGACTCGGTAATAATCCCATCACTTCCACCTGGGTCTCGGGTGTGATCTTCTCAGCACAGAAGCTGCAGGGGAAATCAGCAAGTGAAGGTATTCCACGCATTTACGATCTTTTTTATTAGTAATATGAATATCCACTTGCAAAACAGATAATTACTCAAATTTACTAAGCAAATTATTAAATATAACCAAAACAGAAACAGAGAGAGAGAAAATATCATCAGTCTGCAACGTAGCAAGTACTGCGAATAAAACGATGTCTTACCTAAAATTAAAATCTAGAATCTTGCTCGATCTAAAAATTACGACGCAGGGTCTTTGAAATAAGTATAAAATGCATCTTACCCTTGGGGTTTTCTTGTCTGTATTCCTGCTTACTAAGACGGGGTTGTCGTATTTAACAAGAGAAGCGTTTGGTGGAATCATGATTGTTGAAAATTGCTTTAAATCTGACAAATTTAGCAAGATATTTTCCTTCCAGCACCAGGCTTCTTGTAACTATAGAAACATCTAATCTGCGCATGCGTTACCGGAAATCACGTTTTCTCACGCATTTTCTCACAAGAAAAGACAAGATGGCTTATTCAATGTCTGTAGCCGGTGAGTATATGGATTTAACGGATTAACAGTGAAAGCATGAAATGTGTGATGTTGTTTCCTCGAAATTTCCACAGATGTGAGAAAGTTTCAGAAGTGATTTCCCAGATTGAATAGTTTGATACGCTGTGAAATGTGTTACAGTGTCAGAGCGTACGACACCAATTCTGGTGAAAAAAGAACGACGCTTTTGGCAGTGTTGTCATTGACTAGTCACCAATCTGTTGAGCGTTGTGTTGAACCAAGTGCCCGTGGTCCAGGTGGTAATTTCCTTGGTTTGAAAACTGTGATTTGGCGTATGAAATGGTAGTGCTCAAGTGTAGTATAGTAGTCAACGTTTAGAATGGGCATGTGAAATATATTTATTAAGTACCACATGTGACAATCATTTTTCAGAAGCAAAAGCATTCTTAAGAAAAGTCAGAGAGGATCAGATACGCTGCAGCAAAAAGATTGTGGACATATGGGAAGAGGTTCTTGTGAAAAACAGCTTCAGTTTGGGAGAAGAAGGTGAATGTTTGATCATTAAATTTTTTTTTTTGAAATTATTATTCAAAAAGGCATTTAGTGTGATTGCTTTATTTTAGTTCCCAGCTTCATAAACAAGATTGTTCAATTTGAACACAAACAGTCAAATTGCGTTTCTTCTGAAGGCTTAGGTGATACTAAGTACTGCACTAGTATATGCATTCTTATGAGTAAGTTTTCAAACAAGAATAGAAACCTTCTAGAGCTACCTTGCCTTTGTATAAAATAAAAAGTGTCAGTTCACAATGTGTTTTTAACTTATTTATTCGGCTCCATGTGTTGTTTGGGTATAAGAATAAAATCAGATACTGTACCGAAATGAGCTACAGAAGCAGTGACTCAATTTGTGTACAGTTTTAGAGTTTATTGTAAAAATTGTCGAACAATTTTGAAGCAAAATTTAAATGCATTCTTCACTTTCTTGGTGGCAACTTTCTTTGTGGCACTACTAATCTCTGGCCATGAAAATAGTAAAAAATTGTCTTGTTTATGAAGGCTAAGAAGCCTGTAGAAATGTTTATACTTGACAGGCCCGTAGCCAGCAATTTCAAAAGGGGGGTCTTTTTCTGAAAAAGTGGACCTTTTCCATAAAAACTCCATGTACCTAGTTCAAATTTAACCCAGAGTGGACCTTTCCCAGCAAAAGGGGCGGTTCTTTCGAACCCCCCGAACCCCCCCTGGCTACGGGCCTGCTTGAAGACCTAATTGTTCCTTTTTTCTCTCTCCAGTATGGCTAGTATATGAGCAGGTGTGCCTGGCTGCTTTGGACTGTGCGCAGCTAGATATTGCTGAGGTAATATTCTAATATCATCTTAAATATTTGTGATGAGAGATGGCAGTGCTTTGTTATGATAAAGGTGCACAAATTAGAAACTCAAAACTGAGAATTATCAAAGAAACATGAACTCATTGAAAATCTTGACCAAAATATTATGACCAAACTTACTTCCAGTTGAACAATCATGTCACATCTTTCTCTCAAACAATTAAATTCATAGTTCCAAAAGTTTTTGGCATGGTACAAGGAATATTAAGCATATGCTATATGAAAATAGAATTTTCCATTTTAGATTATTGACTGCCTTTCAGTAAACAAGCATGCAAATATAACGGTTCAGGTTTCTATCTGAATTCATGCTGTTTATATTTTTTCTAAGGGAATAAGGGGATTGCAATTCTGTAACTTTAATTGTTTTTTACTCCAGGGATGCTACCAAGCATTAAAGGCACAGTTTCCAAATAGTTTGCGAGTAAAGAAGTTAGAAGGAATGATTTTAGAAGCAGAAGAAGAGTAAGTCACAATAACCGTGTGGGTATGATAATTTCAGCCGTCTTCTACTTATGAGTTTTCAGTCAAATGTCTGACAGCTATTTCATTGTTAAACACCCTTTTTGTGCAGTTTTCACCTTACCGGACACGGTGCATACTGCCAATGGCAAATTTGACAGAAGTCACAGATCAGACATGAGCTTTTTCTGCGGAAAAGTGGAATTCAGCATTTTTTAATTCAATTCTGATGGTTCCTGAGATTTGTCAAGGTTAGGTGGGTTTTTGTCCCATGATAAATGTTGAGAGTTTGTTTTTTTTTTTTTTTTATTTGAAACCTAGGCTCATGTCTGACAGTTGTGCTTCAAAGCATCCTTTATAGAACCTTGCTGGATAAGTGACAAAGTTAATAACCTTGGTCTACTGTATGTGATTGGTGCAATAAAGTATAATTACAGTAAATGCCCCTTAAGTTAATGATTTTACATGCAGACAAGTTTAAAATGTTGTATAATGAAGCCAGACCTTGTCAACTGTGGGACTGAGTTTCTGATCACGGATAGATTTATTATGATATTATTATATATAGATATTTATTATTATAGATTTGCAGATTTAGATTTATTATTTTTACTAATCTATCTTGATTTTAAATGTTTTTAGGTATGATAGAGCAATGGCAATATATGAAGACATTTTAGAAAAGGATGAAACAAATGCAGTAAGTGTATTTGAGAACATATCAAGCAGAGGTCCATTTCCTGGAAGTGTCTTATGCCAAAGATAATACAACACATCGTCCTTTTTACAGAAAAAAACTTAAAAGTCAGTTTTTGAGCTAAAATTTAAAATGGATGGATTCGGGTGCTGTAATGCAAATTAAAAAAAAAATCTAAAGTAATGTTTATATTTTTATCTCATGACTGAAATTTCCTATATCGTGTTTTATTGCACCAAATGTCATAGTTTAAACCCTCCTTCCTCTTTCAACCAAATTACAAAATAACAATCACAAGAAATAAAGCACATTTCCATCCTTATGCCCTATATAATTATATTATCCTTGTCTACTGTTTTACTCAACATTTTTTTTATTGTGTGAACCTCCTTAGCAAAATCTGGAGTACGCTAGAGCTTGTGAAGTAACACTTTGTTCTTATTTTGCCAGATTGCCACAAAGAGGATCATAGCAATACTAAAAGCACAGAACAAGATACAAGATGCAGTTGAAAAACTAAACAAATACCTAAAGGAGTGAGTATAGTATAGTATAGTATAGTATAGTATAGTATAGTATAGTATAGTATAGTATAGTATAGTATAGTATAGTATAGTATAGTATAGTATAGTATAGTATAGTATAGTATAGTATAGTATAGTATAGTATAGTATAGTATAGTATAGTACANAATAGTAATTCAATTGAAATGTCACTTTTTAAATTTATTATTTCTTTGTTTAGATTTTAAAAAATTAATAAATCCTAACCCGAGCACTGTGAATGTGAAAGAAAAAAATTCAACATTGTTGTATTGAATATAACACCAGTTAAACTTTGACTGATTTCATTCATATGTTTAAATTGCCTCAGCATTATAATTTGAAGAATGCATGTTATCAGAATCCTCACCAAAGCACTGTGAGTAGAGCTCTCTCCTGACAGGACATATCCCAGTCTCTCTGGCCTGTCTCTGCTGCAGCCTTCTGTCCAGTTCTTCCTGTAGGTTGACCACGTCCAGTCTGGTGGCCGGAGTGCTGGACACCTGCTGGACCCACAACTGACCATTCTCTGTCCACTCCCTGTGTGTGTGAGATAGAGGATCATTTAAGGTATGGGTCATGAAATCTATACTCATCTGGTACATGTTTGTTCATCGATATTTTGAGTATCTTGTTGAATCTATATATAATTTCAAAAATTATGCTATTAGCAACTAATTAAAAAACAAACACAAATGTGATGGAAATCTGTCTTTTTTTCTTTGAAATATTTATATATTTTATTATTATTTAATATTATTTAATAAATTATTTCAAGTTGGAGCGAAACATTTTATTTTGTAAACAATGAATACAGAATTTTGTTAATTGTATGTAATTAAATCAATTAACCACTGTAGGCGATGTAATCAATAATTTTTCATGTTTGAATAATTTAGTTATTTATTCGTTTATTCACTTATAATATTTTTAAATGGTGCACTTAAAGTAAAATTTTCAAAATATCCTTAGTCACCTTGGTGGAAGGATTGAGTTCAGGATCTCATCTGTCTGTTGAGCTGCTTTAGCATCAATGGGAGGCACAGCTCCTTTCTTCCCTCCTGGAGGTGAAGGCACTGGACCCTGGTCTGGTGGCTGTGGAGAACTGACCTTCAGTGCTCTTGCCTGCAAAAAAAATAAATAGGAAAGAATACATATACTGTAAATATATACAAGTAAAGATATAAACTATACTAAAGGATAAATAAGGGGACTTGGGCAAAACCACTTTGTAGTAGACACGATAATGATCCTCTCAGCAGAGAAGCTTCAGGGAAAATTAGCAAGCGATTTTTTTATTATTATTATTTTTTACAGCAATATGAATATCCTGTTGCAGAAGAAGGCAATTATTCAAATTTACAGAGCAAATTATTAAATATAATCAAAAGAGGCAGAGAGGGGGAGTATCATCAGTCTGCAGCGTAGCAAGTACTGCGAATAAAACGATGTCTTGCCTAAAATTAAAATCTGGAATCTTGCTCGATCTAAAAATTACGACGCAGGGTCTTTGAAAAAAGTATAAAAGCATCTTACCCTTGGGGTTTTCTTGTCTGTATTCCTGCTTACTAAGACAGGGTTGTCGTATTTAACAAGAGAAGCATTTGGTGGAATCATGATTGTTAGAAATTGCTTGAAATCTGACAAAATAAGCAAGATATTTTCCTTCCAGCACCAGGCTTCTTGTAACTATAGAAACATCTCATCTGCGCATGCGTAACCGGAAATCACGTTTTCTCACGCAATTTCTCACAAGAAAAGACAAGATGGCTTATTCAATGTCTGTAGCCGGTGAGTATGTATATGTTATCGGATTAACAGTAAAAGCATGAAATGTGTGATGTTGTTTCCTCGAATTTTTCACAGATGTGCAAAAGCTTCAGAAATAGTCGCCCAGATTGAATAGATTGATACACTATGAAATGTGTTACACTTTAAGAGCGTACGACGACAATCTGGTGAAAAAAAGAACGACGCTGTGGACAGTGTTGTCATTGACTAGTCACCAATCTGTTGCGTGTTGTGTTGAAAATTCTCTTTAGTAGACAATGTGTGGTTCAGGTGGTAATTTTCCTAACTTAAAAATATGACTTGGCAGTCCGTTGTTTAAAACTTTTTTTTGTGAAATGACGGTGCTCACGTGTAGTCAACGTTTTTAGAATGCATGGGCATGTAAAATATATTAATTTAACATCACAATCATTTTTCAGAAGCAAAAGCATTCTTAAGAAAAGTCAGAGAGGACCAGATACGCTGCAGCAAAAAGATTGTGGACATATGGGAAGAGGTTCTTGTGAAAAACAGCTTCAGTTTGGGAGAGGAAGGTAATTTTTTCAGAAATAATTTAAACAGGCAATGATTGCTTTGTTTTAGTTGCCAACCACATAAACATGATGGTCCAATTTTAACACAGATATTTAAATCATGTTTCATCTGAAAGCTTGGGTAATACTACTGTACCCATATGCATTTTTATGAGTAAGTTTTCAATCAAGAATAAAAACCTTATAGAGCTACCTTGACTTTTGTATAAATAAAAAAGTGTCAGTTTTTAACATATTTTTTCAGCCCCATTATGTTGTGAGTATCAGAATTAAATCAGTTACTGTATATTGCAACAAAAACATGCTACTGGAGCAGTGAGTCAAATTGTGTACAATTTCAGAGTTTATTGTAAAACTGTCAAACCATTTTGAAGCAAAATGTAAATGCATTGCTCACTTTCTTGGTGGCACTACTAATCTCTGGCCATGAAAATAGTAAGACATTGTTTTGTTCATGAAGGCTCAGAAGCCTGTAGAAATGTTTATACCTGAAGACTTAATTGTTCATTTTTTCTCTCTCTCCAGTGTGGCTAGTATATGAGCAGGTGTGCCTGGCTGCTTTGGACTGTGCGCAGCTGGATATTGCTGAGGTAATGTCCTAATATCATCTTTATTATTTGTGATGAGAGATGGCAGTGCTTTGTTATGATAAAGGTGCACAAATTAGAAACTCAAAACTGAAAATTTTCAAAGAAACATGAACTCATTAAAAATCTTGACCAAAATATTATGACCAAACTTACTTCCAGTTGAACAATCATGTCACATCTTTCTCTCAAACAATTAAATTCATAGTTCCAAAAGTTTTTGGCATGGTACAAGGAATATTAAGCATATGCTATATGAAAATATAATTTTCCATTTTAGATTATTGACTGCCTTTCAGTAAACAAGCATGCAAATATAACGGTTCAGGTTTCTTTCTGAATTCATGCTGTTTATATTTTTTCTAAGGGAATAAGGGGATTGCAATTCTGTAACTTTAATTGTTTTTTACTCCAGGGATGCTATCAGGCATTAAAGGCACAGTTTCCAAATAGTTTGAGAGTGAGGAAGTTAGAAGGAATGATTTTAGAAGCAGAAGAAGAGTAAGTTAAAAGTACTGTGTGGGTATAATAATACAGCCGTCTTCTACTTATGAGTTTTCAGTCAAATGTCTGCCAGCTATTTCAATCTTCAAACCCCATTTTGTGTCAGTTTTCACCTTACTGGACATAGAACATACTGCCAATGGCAAATTTGATAGAAGTAACAGATCAGACATGAGCTTTTTCTGCGGAATAGTGGAATTCAGCGTTTTTTAATTCAATTCTGATGGTTCCTGAGATTCCTCAAGGTAAGATGGTGTTTTGTCCCATGATAAAAGTTCAGAGTTTTTTTTTTTTTTTTTTTTTTTTTTTTTTTTAAACCTAGGCTCATGTCTGACAGATGTGCTTCAAAGCATCCTTTATAGAACCTTGCTGGATAAGTGACAAAGTTAATTAACTTGGTCTACTGTATGTGATTGGTGCAATAAAGTACAATTAAATGCCCAATAAGTTGTAGATTTAACATGCAGACAAGTTTAAAATGTTGTAAATGAAGCCAGACCTTGTTAACTGTGGGACTGAGTTTCTGATCACGGATAGATTTATTATGATATTATTATATATAGATATATTATTTATTATTATAGATTTGTAGATTTAGATTTATTATGTTTACTAATCTATCTTGATTTTAAATGTTTAAGGTATGATAGAGCAATGGCAATATATGAAGACATTTTAGAAAAGGATGAAACAAATGCAGTAAGTGTATTTGAGAACATAGCAAGCAGAGGTCCATTTCCTGGAAGTGTTTTATGCCAAAGATAATACAACACATCCCCCTTTTACAGAAAAAAAAAAACTTAAAGTCAGTTTTTGAGCTAAAATTTAAAATGAATGGATATGCTGTATCACAAATTTAAAAAAATCTTTAAAATCTTATGTGATGTTTATATCTTTATCTCATGACCGAAATTTTCTTTATCATGTTTTATTGCACCAAATGTCTTAGTTTAAACCCTTCTTCCTTTTCTTCCTCCCATATTATAGAATAACAATCAAAGGAAATTAAGCATATTTCCATCTGTATGCCTTGGCCTATATTATTAAATTGTCTGCTGTTTCACTCAACATTTTTTTCATTGTGCAAACCCCTTGAGCAAAATCTGGATTACACAAGTGCTTGTGAAGTAATATTTTATTTGTTCTTATTTTGCCAGATTGCCACAAAGAGGATCATAGCAATACTAAAAGCACAGAACAAGATACAAGACGCAGTTGAAAAACTAAACAAATACCTAAAGGAGTGAGTACTATTATAGTATAGGTGTGCATTTTTCTAGATGTGTAAAACTGAACAAATACCTATTGAAAGGAGTGATTCTAGTAACTTTGTCTCTCTGTATTAGTTGAGCAGGGATGAGATGTCTAAAAATATCATTGGTCCAGGCAGCCCCCTAGACCCCTTGCCACATTTCTCAACTTTTTCACTAAATGGCTGTGCAAAGGCCAATTAATTTTTTTTTTTTTTCGTTTTACATACTAACCCATATACAAAATAAACAATGCATACAAAAATATACAAAAGGAATTCTCAATTTCAGGCATAGTTTGGACACAGAGGCATGGCTGGAACTGTGTGACATGTATCTCCATGAACTGGACTACAACAAGGCAGCCTTCTGTATAGAAGAGTGCATCCTTAGCAATCCACACAACCACTTGTATCATCAGAAACTGGGAGAGGTAAGGATATAGTTTTATGATTTATAAAGTTTGAAGACTTTAGGACACGCTCCCCCCTTTTTCCAGACAATTATTATAATTCTGTGACTGTGCAGTTATATTTATTTATTTTGCTAATTTTTTCAAATGAATCGTGTTTATTTCAGATAAAATACAGTCAGTGCGAATACCAGGAAGCAAGAAGTTACTTTGCACATGCTGCCAAGCTCAACCCTAATAACATGAGGGCATTGTTTGGGCTACATCTGGTAAGTATATACAGAATACATCTAGTGTTATAATATGATAATCAATCATGAAATAAATTCCATAAAAAAGGTAAAAAGGACATTTTCAATGTCATAGATTAATGTTTTAAATCTGTTGTAAAGACAATCAACAAACAGGTTGCCATACAGAAGGTATAACTTTTGGAAATGTTTGGCTGTGTTCCACAAAACTGTCAGGTTGGGCAACTATTGCCCTGAATGCAAATTACTTTGTTAAGAGTGTAACATACAAAACCAGTCCAAAAGTGAACCTGGCTCAAAATTGCTATAATAATGTCATCTATCTATCTATCTATCTATCTATCTATCTCTCTCTCTCTCTCTCTGTTTTTATTATGTACAGACACAGATGTGTCTGTACATATTGCCATCACCTGCGTCTGTCGTCGCCGTCGCCGTTCATGTCGCTGTCGCTGTCGCCGTCGCCGTGCACTTTCAGCGTTAACACCATAAGTGGAAGACAGTTTTACTTTTTGGCTTTATATTTACAGAGCTGATGAATATTCATAAAACGCAGGTCAAGTTCGAAAATCAGCATGATCGGGCCATTACTGTAGAAGTTATGCTGTTTTTTCACTTTTCAGCATATATGCAACCTTGTAAACACATTTTAAGGAAAACCGTTAGGCCTATTGTCATGAAACTCACAGGAATGGTCAGTCTTACTAAAACGCAGGTTGAGTTGGAAAATCAGCATAATCGGGCCATTATTTTAGAAGTTATGCTGTTTTTTCACATTTCTTNACAGTACAGTACAGTACAGTACAGTACAGTACAGTACAGTACAGTACAGTACAGTACAGTACAGTACAGTACAGTACAGTACAGTACAGTACAGTACAGTACAGTACAGTACAGTACAGTACAGTACAGTACAGTACAGTACAGTACAGTACAGTACAGTACAGTACAGTACAGTACAGTACAGTACAGTACAGTACAGTACAGTACAGTACAGTACAGTACAGTACAGTACAGTACAGTACAGTACAGTACAGTACAGTTCAGTTACTGCATTTTTCTAGATGTGTAAAACTGAACAAATACCTATTGAAAGGAGAGAGTATATTCACTTTGTCTCTCTGTAACAGTTGATCAGGGATGAGATTTCTAAAAATATCATTGGTCCAGGCAGCCCCCTTGTCACATTTCTCAACTTTTTCACCAAATGGCTGTGCAAAGACCAGTTTAATTTTTTTTTTTTTTTTTTCGTTTTACATACTAATCCATATACCAAATATACAATGCACACAAAAATATACAAAAGGAATTCTCAATTTCAGGCATAGTTTGGACACAGAGGCATGGCTGGAGCTGTGTGACATGTACCTCCATGAACTGGACTACAACAAGGCAGCCTTCTGTATAGAAGAGTGCATCCTTAGCAATCCACACAACCACTTGTATCATCAGAAATTGGGAGAGGTAAGGATATAGTTTAATGATTTATAAAGTTTGATGACTTAAGAACATGCTCCCCCCTTTTCCCAGACAATTATTATAATTCTGTGACTGTGCAGTTTTATTTATTTATTTTGCTAATTTGTTTAAATTAATCGTATTTATTTCAGATAAAATACAGTCAGTGTGAATACCAGGAAGCAAGAAGTTACTTTGCACATGCTGCCAAGCTCAACCCCAATAACATGAGGGCATTGTTTGGGCTACATCTAGTAAGTATATACAGAACACATCTAGTGATATAATATGATAATCAGTCATGAAATAAATTCCATAAAAAGGTAAAAAGGACATTTTCAATGTCATAGATTAATGTTTTAAATCTGTTGTAAACACAATCAACAAACACGTTGCCATACAGTGGTTATAACTTTTGGAAATGTTTGGCTGTGTTTGGCAAAGCTCTCAGGTTGGGCAACTGTTGCCCTGAATGCAAATTACTTTGTTAAGAGTGTAACATACAAAACCAGTCCAAAAGTGAACCTGGCACAAAATTTCTATAATAATGTCATCTCTCTCTCTCTCTCTCTCTCTCTCTCTGACATTTTTTTTTTCATGTTAAATCATCAGTTGCGCTTTATTTTGCTTTCCAATATTTCAGTCAGCCACCAACTTAGTCAGCAGTCAAAAAGGCACACAGAAGACGGAGAACGCCAGACACGCGGCGTGGGCGGCCAAACAAATAAAGGACAGGTACAAGGTAAGCCTGAAGTGCAGAACCTTCATGGTCACTGGCCTCTGTTGAATTGAGATTGTACTACTAAATACATGCCAAACGGAAGGTTAAGGGATACTAGAGGAGGGGGTGTTTGAAGGCACTTAACAGAACAGATATACTCTACTTTAACCTGTGTGTGTGTGTGTGTGTGTGTGTGTGTGGTGTTTGTGTGTGTGTGTGTGTGGACAGATAGACTTCTTCATTATTGAATTGAATTCAGTTATTACATTCATCTGGTTAATATAATGTAATCTACTCTCATTGGGGGTTTTCACTTCCAAAGTTAACAAACACTTTGAAACCCAAAAGAAGAGGTTTTTGAAAGAGATTTTTCATTCCTGTCTTCATACTCTGTCTGTGATGTAAAATATTTTTTTAAAATATACTCATGGATTTACTCATTTATTTCTGCAGACACAACTGGGCAAGAATCGAAGTGGAGATGTAAAGATTGTAGAAGATATGCTAGAGGCATTGAAAATGTCTTCATCATAAATCAGATACAGCTGGTGGGAAGTCCTGAAACATGAATCACTGAAAACTGGGACAGTAATTTCTGGAGTCAGTGAAAATATCCTCATCGTACATAGAGAAAGTCATTTCTGGAGTCATTGTCTGTCTTAACATGGAAATTCATTGTTGGAGTCACTGAAAATGTCTGTCTTAACGTGGACAGTCATTATTGGAGTCACTGAAAATTTCCTTATCTTACACAGAGACAGTCATTTCTGGAGTAATGGAAAATATCCTCATCTTACACATGGACAGCCATGCCATCTTACACATTGTCACTGAATATGTCTATGTTAACAGGGACAGTCATTGTTGAAGTCATTGAAAATGTCTCCATTTTAAAACAGATGCAGAAAATCACTGAAAAGTGGAGTCGCTGAAAATGCTTCCATCTTCTTTGGGCTATAATTCTAGCTCTTTTTGTAAATCTGACCCTTGATGACATTTTGTTTATTAATTCAATACAAGCCAAAATAAAAAATGAAATAGTATAAAAAATAATCCTACTTTAAACCAGGTACAGCCATTTCAAGACTTGACATATATCTGCTCTGCCTTTGTCCAATATAAGGGTTCAAATCTAACGCAAATGCAGAACAAATTTTACTGAGTAAATGTTATCACACATCTTTGCTCTACTCTCTACATTTTCAATTGAAAATGATAATAAAATGTTGTAAGATAACTACTAAATTCCAGTCTCACATGTATAGCAAGTGTTTATCGCTGAAAGTATTTTGGTCAAGGAAATTTTCAATCAAACTGAATCTTTCTAAGAAAGAAATAAAAGAAAGTTTTGAGTATTAGATCAATGAGCTTCTCTTAACTTTAAAAGTTAACAGGCCACCTTCATTTGAACATCATCATTTGAACGTCAATCACATATATATAATCTGACATTAGTCTGTATCTGAGTGAGATTGGCAGCTTGCTTGTTGTTACACAAGAATGACATCTAAACAAAGCGGCCAACAAATTGCTTTCCATTAGTAATAAGAAACTTACTAAGAAACTTGGGGTGGTTGGGGGGAGGGCAGGAAGTTAAGATGCACCAACCCTTTTGCCAGAAAAAGGTCATTTTCGTGTACATTTTGATCAAGATGTGCAAAGGTCCACATTTTCAGAAAAAATAGCCTTCATAACACTCTCTGTAGTGTTTACATAAAAAAAAAATAATCTTCATGATTCTGGAAGAGTGTGGAGGACTGCGAAGTTGGAAGTTCACATGTTCACTGACAATGGCCTCGTTTAAAGTTTAGTGTCCTGATATCTCTCCATTTGTTTTTTTTTTTTTGAAGGGGGGGGGGGGAGCATAAACGCAACACCCAAATATCTGAATCATTCCAGGAATATTATTACTAAGAAAGTAATTTTTTAACTCCTAACATGCTTGGAAAAATAAATTATATATTTATATAAATACCCCCCTCCCAAAACACATGCACGATAAGAACATTTGGTACAGCTTTTCTAGGAAGATGTGGGTGGCCCTGAAAAGGGCCTTTGTTTGATGCGTCAGAAACATCGGGTTTACTTCTTGGCGGCCTTCTTAGGGGTCTTCTTTACTTTAGGCTTAGCTGCTTTCTTCGGGGTCTTCACTTTCTTGACGGTTTTGGGCTTGGCAGTCTTGGCGGCTTTCTTGGGGGATTTCGCTTTCTTGGGCTTAGCTGCCTTTTTTTCTCCTGCTGGTTTCTTTGCGGCCTTCTTTGGTGTCTTGACTTTCTTTACCTTCTTTGGCTTTTCCGCCTTGGGCTTTTTAACTGCCTTGGGTTTCTTCACCTTGGGGGCTGCTGGCTTCTTAGCTGCTGCGCCGAGTTTAAAAGAACCGGCTGCTCCCTTTCCCTTGGTCTGTAGAAGTTTACCATCAGTGACGGCGCTCTTCAGGTACTTCTTGATGAAGGGGGAGACTCTTACCATATCCACCTTGTAGTTACCGGCTATGTACTTCTTGATGGCTTGGAGAGAAGAGCCCCCACGTTCTTTCAGTGTACCTATGGCAGCGTTGACCATTTCGGCCACTGGCGGGTGGCTGGCTGGGGCCTTTGGCTTGGCTTTGGTAGCCTTCTTTGCAGGTGCTGGTGCAGCGGCGTCGGCCATTCTATACTTGCAGGTGAAACGTCGATGACTATCTTCTGTGAACACTAAACGATTAGTATGATCCAAGAATGATGTATAGGTTTTGTGTCGGCGAAGCCGACACGGGAAAGTTACGAAGTCTCGTGCATTAAAATACAAGAGCTTCTTTCAATCCCCAAAACGTGTTTATTGTTGTCTTCTGCCTCTATTGTTTGTCTGTACGTGGTTTTGGTCTCGCTTGGATTTTTTTTTTTTTTTTTTTTTTTTTGACCGTCTCTTTCCAGTTTGCGCGCTGGCCGCCCCTTCCAGCTTGTTAATTTTTTCCAGATGTTTGTTATTATAATATAAATATATGTATATATAATATACATATATTATATACCTTTTTTCCTCCGCCTTTATAGTATTATTGTGTTTTCTCATTCCATTTCCTTGTCTCTGGTCATCGGGAGCCCAGATGTGTTTATCCTTATTTTGTGGACTGAGGTTGCCCTTTTCTGGGTTGTATTTTTTCCTTTCTNATATGATCCAAGGTTAAAAGGCACTTCTATTTAAAGCGTCCGCGCGGACCTCTTAGAACACACCACCCATATGCACAGGAAAATTCAACATGGAGAACCGCTTTCACTTAATGTGTGTTAGTTTGTGTTCTTTGGATAAAAATTGCTTCAAATTCACTGTGTTATATGGTGAAGTGAATTATGAGAATTATTCTTAACATAACAAAGATTAATTTGACTACAGTTTATAGAGTTTGAAGGCCACCTTCGTATTGAAAAGACAATGTTAATTTCTTAGTTGTGTTATTTATTTCAAATATTTGCAGAACTAATGGTATAAAAAGCCCAATTACCAAAAATTATGTTAAAAACATTTATGAAGTCAAACCTTGATATCTTAAGATTCGTGCTAGACCATTTTTATGTGTTTATATGCACGGTTTCTAATTTTATTCGAATATTTACCAAGACCTAAGAAACACAACCTGATCCATACTATAATCGTGTTATCTAAATCATATATAGGAAATCTTTGGCTTCTCCCTCACTTTTTGAAAGAAAAACGTATTAAACACTTGAAACACATCTCATAGAACCTTTTGCTTTATAGTAAAATGTCAAAATGAAGGATTTAGTCTCTTTAAAGTGTATTTTAAAGGCGATACATACAGAAAGAACTTTCCGCCATGTTGGATAATTGAGAGTCGTGGGTGAAAATCGTTCGTATTTCGTTTGCAATTTTTGGACCAGCGATTTGCTTCTTTCATTGTAAATTTTACACACTGGGCTTCTTAAAACTCTATGTAAGTGTGCTGAGGTTATATTTTTTTCAAAGGTTCCGCTTTATTTCAACATTGCAAAGCGAAGCAATTCTCACTATCAAAGCCCCGACAGCTATACACAGTGCACTATATAGCCAGGTATGATGTGGATCCTGTCTTCACCTCTGTGGGTTAGAAATATGCTCCCCAAAACGTGAATTTGATAAGGCAAAACTTTGAGTTTTCATTATAGTTTACTTAGGTCTTCTTTTGACCATTGTAAGTTACGAGAAGCCATATATATTCTGTATATAGGGGCCTACAGTACAGATCGATTAAAGACTCAAATTAAGCTGGGATGGTATAGGCTATATGAAATCTGCACAGTACATGCCGTAGCGCATGGGCTAGGCGTAGTAAGCGCCCACAGATCGACATATAAATCAAGTGTTACGTTTAGACACTTATTTAAACAATTTTATAGAAATTAAGGGTGTTAAAAATGAGGGGTGTAGCATTTGATCCAAACTTGCTTACAGCGTACGAGTATAGGTCTATTTGATATCTATAGGTTATACGTACTTATCTGTGAAATGGCGTGTCTGTCACCCGCACATCCGAAAACCCGAAATTTTTAATTTTATTACTTTAATATTTATCTTTTGCAAAATAAAGCTTCATATATAAATTAATCAATTTTCTTACAGATTCTTAAATAACTGATTCTTTTAAAATGAAACGATATCATACTGCGACAATGATTAAGTATACAAAAAAAAAAAAAAAAAAAAAAAAAACGGGGGCAAAAATAAAATAAAATAAAATAAAAGAATTTAATTTAGAATATGAATATGAACGGAAAAAAGTATTTTTTTCACAATATTGTTACGTTTTCAATGTTGATAATTAGTTGTCACTGCTGTTGTCGTGTAAAGTGTGCCGGCAGCTGATTTAAAATATACGGGCAGTGTGTGCGTGTCCGTCTCTGGTAACGTGGACACAGAGCTGCCGTTGCAGTGCCGTCCTGGTCGGTGCACGTGGCGCGGAATTTCTGCCTGTCGCGAGTTTTCATGAGTTCCCTCTGCTGCCGCCGCCAAAGTGGTGAATTCCCTTCATCGAGTATATTTATAATTTAGTCGGAGTTTGAGTAACCTCCGTGATTAATTGAGTTGTAGTTGAGGTGGAACAGTCGGAGTCAGACTGAGTGTAGCCTATGTCCACTCTGTTTGCAGAGACAGATCTCAAATTGTACAGTGGGTCTTCCAAATAAATAAATAAAAAAATAAATAAACAGATTTATGTGTTATGTGATTTGTAATGCTGGGGCAAAAAGTCGCATTAGTGGTGCCCAGCGAATAATTAAAAAATAAAATTCTCTTCCAGAAGTTCAATAGAAAACCCACCCAAAAGAACATTACACTTATGAACAGCGATGGGATAATAACTTCACAGTATACACTCCAAAAAACAAAAGTTTTTTTTTTTTTTTTTTTTTTTTTTTTTTTTTTTTTTTTTTTTTTCAGAAGGAACCCGGAAGAAGAAACGAAAGACCTGCCAGTGAGACAAACAAATTTTAATCCACATTAAAATGTGCACATTTAAAAAGACACTAAAGGGAGTTCATGTATGTCCCATTTTACGTCTCTATCCAGTATGCCATTTTTTTTAATTGATTTATTTATTAGTCTATATTTTACATGCTAGTATTAGTGGACAAGTGGACACCACTCACTTGTGCTCGTACCCGACCTCTTGACTCAAGGAGGGGCTCGTTTTGGGCAACTCTTCTAGATTTGGAGATCGGTAACAAGCTTGAGAGGAAGCCGAAATGGCAGGCAAAGAAATATGGTCAAAACTTCGCCAATTTGACGCCTACCCTAAAACTTTGGAAGATTTTCGAGTAAAAACTTTCACAGGAGCTACAGGTGAGTGGCCACTCGGGTTGTTGTTTTTATGATCGGCGAAGTAGAAAAAAGACATCACGAGTGTAACCTAGCGCGCATGCTGTCAGTTTTTCATTGGTCGAGTGTTGGCAACTATTTGAAATCCTATTGTTGCTCGATTATAAGATAATAATACAATAACAAGCGACAACAGTTCCCTTTATATTGACAAATTGTGCTAAGCATGGGAAGATCGACAATTTTGCAGCAAAAACATGGCAGGAAAACGCATGGCAGTCTTTTTGCATTTGAGTTATTTGCACAACTCAGCACAAGTAGAGACGTTTTGAGGCATTTCGACTGTTAGGGGTGCTAACTAGTTAAGATGAAGGGCTTTAAGGGTAATGAAATAGATTTTGTTTGAAATTAGCCACTGACGCCTATAATTGAGATTGACATGCTGATCACAGAATTTTGGAGAAATCCTTGAACTTTCCCATCCCCCTCCATGTCTTAATGACGTACACTGTACCAGTAGGGCCTAAGTTGTTATATAACCTGCAATTTGATAAATCCTTTATGTTTATATATGCATTTTTTCAATTTATTATTTTTAATTACAAGTGGTAATATAACCATGCATTGTCACCTTTGGGTCCAGTTAATCACCATGTATTTAATGTTTTCTTATTTCTTATCAATTTTACAGTGACAGTTGTGAGTGGACTGCTGATGTTTATCCTGTTTGTCTCTGAACTGAGCTATTACCTGTCAACTGATGTCAATGNGACGTTTTGAGGAATTTCGACTGTTAGGGGTGCTAACTAGTTAAGATGAAGGGCTTTAAGGGTAATGAAATAGATTTTGTTTGAAATTAGCCACTGACGCCTATAATTGAGATTGACATGCTGATCACAGAATTTTGGAGAAATCCTTGAACTTTCCCATCCCCCTCCATGTCTTAATGACGTACACTGTACCAGTAGGGCCTAAGTTGTTATATAACCTGCAATTTGATAAATCCTTTATGTTTATATATGCATTTTTTCAATTTATTATTTTTAATTACAAGTGGTAATATAACCATGCATTGTCACCTTTGGGTCCAGTTAATCACCATGTATTTAATGTTTTCTTATTTCTTATCAATTTTACAGTGACAGTTGTGAGTGGACTGCTGATGTTTATCCTGTTTGTCTCTGAACTGAGCTATTACCTGTCAACTGATGTCAATGCAGAGCTGTTTGTGGACACCTCTCGAGGGCAGAAACTGCGTATCAACGTAGATGTCACCTTTCCCAAACTTGCATGTGGATGTAGGTCACATTTTGTCTTCAACTGTTTTTTTCAAAAGGCATGCATGAATACAGCCATACTTACATTAATACGTACACACACACATGCACACATACACACATGCACAGATGCACATAAGCAGGTAAACACAGGCCAATTCATCAGGTATATCATAGTGGGGTGTCTCTTATTCATTTGAAAATTTATTTTGTTTTGACCATTAATGTTGAAATTCTGTTGATTTATTTACCTCTAAGAAAGATGAAAAATTGAAATAAGAAGAGAATCAGCATGTACAACATCATTATGTTCATCAAAGCATACTCAAATGAAATATTTTAAAAGAAGCAATAAATTGAAATATGCAAAATTACATCTTTAAAATTCATGTTTCAGTTGTGAGCATAGATGCAATGGATGTTTCTGGAGAGCAGCAAGTTGATATAGACCATAATATCTTTAAAACTAGATTAGATGCCAATGGGAAGCCAGTATATGAACCAAAAAAGGAAAGTAAGTCAAATTGATAAAGATTATGGGACATTTTGCAGAGATAATGTCAACATAATTATGTACAGACACAGATGTGGCATTTTTAAATCCTCTAGAATAAAATTGCTGGAGTGTATTTATACATGTTATTTATTTCTTATGCTGTTGATATGCAAAGAGACAAAAGTGAAATTAACTGAAAGCCTTCTATTTCAGAACTTGGAGACAGCTCACAACAAGTTATTGATGCAGTTAAGAAGCCATTAGATCCCAATAGGTGTGAGAGTTGTTATGGAGCAGAAACACCTGATTTAAAGTAAGATATGGATATCTCTTAAATGATTTCTTCATTACTGGTATCATTACTTCCCCTTTGCTGTATAAGGCCCCACTGCATCGAGCAGAACTCTATTTCAGTCTTTTTAAAAATGAAAACAAAATAACTTCTTTTTTTGACCAAATAAGAGTCACAGGCTTAGCATTTTGCTACATTTTCTTGGTATATTTGAGTAAACCAAGGGTAAATTGAGTGCACTTAAGCACTTGTATTTACATAATTCTTTTCAAGTTTTGTAGTTAATTTACCACGGTGCATAAATAGGGGTGCTAGAGTATAATTTGTGAAGGTAAAGTTAGCTAATGGCATGTGAACATTTCAGATGCTGTAACACCTGTGAAGATGTGAGAGAGGCGTACAGGAAAAAAGGTTGGGCTTTCAATGATCCTGATGGTATAGACCAGTGCACACGAGAAGGCTGGTCTGACAAAATGAAGGCACAACAAAATGAAGGCTGTCGTATCCATGGTTACCTAGAGGTCAACAAGGTGGGGAGTTGTCTCTTAGTAGAGAACTTAATGATTTTTAATTGATTTTTAATAAAGAATTGAAAAGTTAATAATTGAACAANTGTTAACCTCGGGATAAATCAGGATAAATCAATTTTGGCGCGAAAATCCTCTTTTGTGTCCTTTTAAGCACTTGTATTTACATTATTCTTTTCAAGTTTTGTAGTTAATTTACCACGGTGCATAAATAGGGGTGCTAGAGTATAATTTGTGAAGGTAAAGTTAGCTAATGGCATGTGAACATTTCAGATGCTGTAACACCTGTGAAGATGTGAGAGAGGCGTACAGGAAAAAAGGTTGGGCTTTCAATGATCCTGATGGTATAGACCAGTGCACACGAGAAGGCTGGTCTGACAAAATGAAGGCACAACAAAATGAAGGCTGTCGTATCCATGGTTACCTAGAGGTCAACAAGGTGGGGAGTTGTCTCTTAGTAGAGAACTTAATGATTTTTAATTGATTTTTAATAAAGAATTGAAAAGTTAATAATTGAACAATAAATTATGGGGGAGGAAACATGATATTGGTGGAAAAGTATTTGAGCTTTTTTAAACAAAATAAAAAGGTGAGACTGGACTATCTCTGAATAAAGAAAAAAATTGTGACAGGTAAAGATATCCTTGTGGTTTTATGTTTTTATGTATATAGCACATAGAGATTTACTGTAGATAGCACTATTTTCATATGACTTATCCAACTGCATGTGGCTTTGGTTACATAGACTGAGGTATCAACTTTGTGTAATAGAAAGATGCTACCTGTTGAGCTGGCACAGGTGTCTTAACCATAGCATATTAATAAGAATTATTTTGATTTCAGGTTGCTGGAAATTTCCACTTTGCACCAGGAAAAAGTTTTCAACAACACCATGTTCACGGTGAGTACAGAACACAACCACGGTTTTGTCTTTGCTGGTAACCGGTATGAGTATTTTCTGCCTAATTGCAAAATTTCATGATTTTTAATTAAGTTCTAAATATGACCACTGAACTATAGGTGTTGGTCCCACAATTAATAGTCAGAGATAAAAAAAATATCTTGTCTGTTTTAAGAAATAAATAGCCACTCACTTTGGGCATTTCAGAAAATGGGTGGAAGATTAATCTTTTCAAAGACTGCTAAATTTTAAGCTAATCACTTTATATGGTAATAATGGTATGCTTGTATTGTGGACAGAAAGGAATGTTCAGGTACTGACTGAGTGTTTTATATCACATCATCATAAGAAGACCTTGATATTGAAAATGTCTACCTGTATCACCCAAGATGACTGTATACTTTGCATAATATCAGCATTTACTAAAAAAAAAAAACATCATTTTCTCTTTCAGTCCATGATTTACAAGCTTTTCCTGGACAAAAGGTAAATGTTAACCAAGCAAATTGGTACAAATATCCAAACATTAACTTATTCAGATGCAACTTATTTTAACCTTAATCCACATTTTCATCCCTTCGTGTCTGACTCAAATTAAAGAGATAAAGAATATAGTTAATGGGGATCATCTGAGGTAGCCTGTTGTCTCATCACTGAGTGTATAATAAAATATTGTGTAAAGCACTTCATTGGATGCTCATAGATTGTCTAAAATGAGGAATTGTACTGAAAGAGCATTACATGCCAGCTTTGTTTTCGTGGTGAACACTTCTGAAATTATGTTGAAAACTACCGGTTTTATATTATCCAGCTTACCAAACACGTACATCCAGTATTTTCAAAGATTTTATTTAAATGAAATAATAAATATTTCTATTTTTTTTTCTTTCAGTTTAATCTGACTCATTATATAAAACACATCTCGTTTGGTAAGGATTATCCTGGCATAGTAAACCCACTTGATGACACAGAGATTATAACTGAAGAATGTGAGTATCGTCCTACTTAAAAAGTACTTTCTTTTCAACTGGTGTGGCATAGCAGTAATTATCTAGATCTTATGTTAAGGAGGTCTTGGTAATATGAGCCAAAAATAAAATAATTTGCAACGTAACATATTCACTTCATGATACCAGTGAAACTTACCCATACAGGGTGAGTGCGTAAATTAAGTATCTCATAATGCATTAGATTGTTAATAAAAACCAATCAGTTGATTTTTTTTTCCTCCGACAAATGTCAAGTATGCCTTGGTAAAATGAAAAATTGGCAAAGTTTCATAGGCCTTCTTTAAGTAACCTGGTCATCTCAGTAAGTCCACATTCCTAGTTAAAGTCTGTTTATCCGTGATTATGATTTTAATAGGATTGGATGGAAGTTGCCTTCTGGCTCTTCCGGAAGGCAGTCAGGATTTTTCTAGTTTAACTTGACAGGCATTTACTTTTTTCTGTCGGAAGGCGATCAAAATTGGAGGATGAATCAACAAAGATAATATGGAGGACTGTCAAAATATATCTCTGAATCTGCCCCCGTTTAAATATTTTCAACCACAGAGTTTATTTTAGTCCAAGCATTTTTTGGTTCACTGGCTTTTTTTCTAAATAAATGGCAAGTGTCGAAAGACTTGGAATAACAACAACAACTATGATTAGAAAATATTATTATAAACGCCATTTATTTCTCCAATTATTTTTTGCAGTGCTTACAACTTGTCATGCACCATGCAAGAAAGTCTCCATCAACAAATCCTGTGCTGTTATTTATGCCTCATCTTGCCACAAGTGGGCTTCCACTTATTAAAGCATTTCTTCCACCTGTTTCCCTAAGGGATTGTAAATTAAAATTTGGTAAAAACTTTCTTGACAAAAATTAAGTCTACTTTGACTCCAAGTAAAATCAGACAGTCTAATGCAGTGAAATGATTTATGTCTTAGAAAAGAGAAAGGAATGGCCATTGTTTCAGACCAATAATTACTCTGTTTTAGTGTATTACTGCAAAATTATCCTGAATTGAAGTAGACAAAAATTTGGTGTAAATGTTGAGACTTAGTTTCAGTCTAAAATTTATTTTGTGGAACTTGGTCCTGGAGTGCAGCTGGCCTTCTTTGTGACATTTAATCACTCCCCTATAATTCTCAACCTAATGTGAGTGAATCATCCATGTTGAAAACTACATGCATATAATCAACAGTTCTGTTAATTTTTTCCTTTTGAAATTTTAACACAACTGATACTGTCAATAAATTTTTCAGTAAACAATTCCACATTGAAAACCATGGTAACCATAACAATAAAAATAAGATATGCTTAAGTTTCCCTTGTTGAAAACTACAGTAATAGATTAAGTGAATCCTGGCAGCAAACTTGTAAAGTTTAGTGGAAAAACTGCTGAAACTGCCATCAATATTTTCTGTTCATTGAAGAAACTTGCCAGTCTTCAGACATCTACCAGCAGAACCTTCGTAAATACCAAAACTTGATAGTTTGTAGAAATATAAACTTTTTCTCTTATGTGGTCACTAGATGTCAGCACCGTATACCTGACGCCACAGCCATAAATGTTCCAAAAGTGCCGCCGCCTTGTATCATTGTTTTTCCCAGCTCACTGAAAAATTCTCTCCCTCTCAATCCAATTCTGCAATGCGAATAAAAAAACAGATAATATATTATATTTATAATCCATTGTTATATCTATAAACCAGAAGTATTTTTGCTGGGATTAGGGAAAGTGATATCAGGACTTTTTGCAAAACATCAAATCTAAGAGCAAAGATGAGTAGGGCAATGATTCTTGAATAGGAGTAAATTGTTTTAATTTCTCTCAAAGTAAGTTTGCTTACTAGTAAGTGCCAAAATCCCAGGTAGGGCACCCTTAAGACACTGAACAAAAAACAAAACTTACCTAAATGCATTGAAGCCTCCAAACAGTGCCCCGGAGGACATTCCAACCAAGAAACCAATTCCAAATCCAAACTTGATCTTGTCCCAGCAACTTGGCTGTCCACCTCCTCTGTTGTAGCCACTAGGTACTGCAGGCATAGTGTTGGATTTCTGTTAAAGCTAGGGAGATATAATGGGATACAAGATGTACATGGTTAATATCCTAATATCGTGGGTTACAAGATATACATGGGTATTAAAACATAATACCAGGTTACAAAATATACCTGAGTGACTTTCTCCTTTCTAATGCATGCTTGACAAACTACTATGTGTACAATTTGCCCTTATATAATTTAGTACTTTGTATAATTGTAATGTACAAATTATTAGGAACAGTGCATTATATTGGTCATGTACTTGAACTGACAACGCCGTACATTTTCTGTCTGTGTAATAACTGAGCTGCATTGCATGAGATTTTCGCTTGAATGACAGAGAAGTAGCCATGACTCACTTCGCTATTACAATACAACAGCTTTAAGCTGAAAAGCCAAGGAATCCCGAACTTGTGTAACTTGAAGAGACAAGTACAAAGCAGAAGTTCCAAGTTTTATAACTGACAATATATCTGCAGTGGATACATTGCTAGCTGCTTGCTACAAGAATGCGACATGTTTTTTTCGTGACTTACTATACCACAAAACACCACGCACAACGTACATATATTTTAGAAATTTACACTGAACACGCTGCAGCAAGAGAGCGAGACTTTACTTGAGAATCCAGACTAAGCGCAACAGCACCATATTAGTCAAATAAAGTGTAACTGCACAGGTACAGTTTCATAGTTTCATCGTACCTAATGTGTTCTCTGTCCTTGATCTGCGTCCACGTATTGATATTGGTGATAACCTTTCTACACGTGAAAAGTTTCACCCTGCGCTTTCTACAGATACCCAATATGCATTGCGGCTTTCAACTTCCCGTTCCGGCAAGAAGTTGTTAAACGTGTTGAACGTGTTGAAATAATAATGCACGTTTTTAGGACATTTTCAGTGGGCGATTTAGCACTGCAAATATTCATGACTTACACCGGAAATTTAAGGGAACGAGAGGCGAGCTACTGAAGTATACTACCAAAAATTCCACTAGAGAAATACATATAAACGAATAAGTTTAAGTGAATATTATAATAAAGTGAATGCAATGAATGAACAAATTTTTTAAATATTTTTGCAAACCAACCCAAATATATGCAGATTCACCTACCTCTACTTCACCTTTTTTAGATTTAATTTATTCGTTCTTTATCTTCTCCTTCTTCTTCTTCATCTTCTTCTTCTTCTTATTATTATTATTATTATTTTTATTATTATTATTATTTATTCATTGTATTTATTTTTCTGTGAGGAAGGGGGGGGGGTTAAAATGTGTATTTGGAAAACAAGAAAAAATTCACATTTCTGCAGTAAGTAATAATTATAAGAAAAGCCCAAGCCATAAATATGCAACAGAATGTATTATTGGTTTTTCTAATTTTGCATATTTCAGCCTCGGCTATGTTCCAGTATTTTGTGAAAATAGTTCCCACAACATATGTGAAGGTAGGGGGACAGGTAAGTTAATTCAACCAGTTTTATTATTGCCTCAAGAAAACCTCAATGACCATGTGTAACAAATTTTATAACATCAGGCCCGTTTTATTTATTTATTTATTTATTTATTTTGTGTGTGTGTATATATGTAACCAACATACTAGTATACCATGCTCTCTCTCACATCATTCATTAGTCATATTCTACTGGTATGTTTAAAAAAAATGATAATAAATTTCTGTGACCACAACTTCTTCTATTATATTAATAATCCATGTTTCAGGTCCTCACCACCAATCAGTACTCTGTGACCAAGCATTCCAATGTGTTATTAATTGATAATCCATGTTTCAGGTCCTCACCACCAATCAGTACTCTGTGACCAAGCATTCCAAGACGATCAGTAAAGGTCTGGGGGAGACGGGATTACCAGGTGTCTTCTTCATGTATGAATTGTCACCCATGATGGTGAAATATACAGAAAAACAAAGGTATGATCGATAATTCTTTTACCAAAGAGACCTGTGTGTGTGTGTGTTGGGGGGGGTCAAAGGCAGATGGAAAATTTACTTATCAAGGATTTGGAGGTGGGTCAAAAGAATGGCTCTTAGGGCTGGAAAAAGTCCACTCTGAATCGGAATTTGATCTAAGTTCTTAATCATTTTTGAAGTTGGGTCAACTATGGTGATAAAAAGTGTTTACTATTTCAGAAAAAAAAAACTTGTGAATAGTGATATTCATACCAATACTGTCGAATACATTTTGTGAGGGAGATGGAATGAGCCCTTGAGTGAAGTCAGCCAAGCATATTCTAGTGATAATCCTTCATTTTAAGCATTATGATTTACAAATAATTATGATTATAAGATAATTATGTGAGTTTTACACTAGCCAAGCGTATTCTAGTGATAATCCTTCATTTTATGCATTATGATTTACAAATAATTATGATTATAGGATAATTATGTAAGTTTTACACTTTTCAGATCTTTTATGCATTTTCTTACAAGTGTGTGCGCAATAATAGGGGGCATATTTACAGGTTTGTATTCGTTAATCTTTTCTGAGGTATCAATATTTAATGATAATATGCTCACAACTTTCAAAAAAAAATTACGAAGAATAATTTTATGAAATTAGTTTTTAAAGAAGTCTTTTGAATTTTTGGGCATTACATTAAATTTGATAATTTTATGTAAAAAAATCTACTATACATGTGAAGGGGATTATTATTATTATTATTCCTTTCAGTTGCGGGACTTATAGACTCAATGATCTATCACTCTGCTAAAGCAATTCAACAGAAGATTGACTTGGGCAAAGCATCATGATATAATATCAAGATAGCACACTAGCACAAATCATATAAAATAATTTTGTTATAATTATGAATTCAAAAGAGAATATAGTGTATTGTCTACAAAGATTTGGCCCCGTCTCTAAATCCACTTATGAATTTGGTGGCAAAATGAGCCCATGTAAAGTAGTTTGTTTGGATTGTTGCTCTTGTAGTTTACTAAGGAGAATTCAGTAAAATTTTTTTCTGCAAAGCATTTAGAAATGAATCTTTAAGTTGTTTAATATCTACTATTTTGGAGTAATAATGGGGAAGTCCGAAAGTTATTCCACCTTCTTGTGCTTCATTAAATTTTAGTTTTTTTTTTTCTTTTCGTTCTTTGTATTTTTGTCTGTTAGATATAGTGTAGATTTACCATCATTATTATTATTAGGTTATTAAGATCCCTTATTAGAATTCTATGAAGGGTGTTTGTAATACCAAAGTGTGTGCAGTTTTTCTTCCAACAGCTCACTTCCTATGAATTGATTAGGCATTAGTAGGACAGCATGTTCCAGGAATTTTTTTATTTGCCCTTGTTAAGTTTGCTTAGAGAAATGTGGGAAGCTTTGTCAGGTGCAATTTTTTAAATCTTTGGTTTTTCTGCTGATAGCTTATGCAATGTATTATAATTGAGTTACAATTGAGCATATTTATGGTAAATCATTGTTATGTATGGCCAGAGTTTCAGAGAACACTTAAACTAGCCTCTCTACTATGACATATCTCTGTGATTGCCAAGATTGTGAGATGCATGTGTGTACAATAAAAGTGCAGAGTAGAGAGGTGAGTTTTCAGTGTCCTGAAAGTGGTGGTGCTGTCACAGTATTGATGATACTGTCACAGTATTGATGATACTATTTAAATAGGGTGTATCAGTTTCTTCAGTTTTGCTTGACTTTGTAACTTGACATTTTGTTCTTGCAACTTTTTGTTTTTTGTTTATACACCTAGTGATATGGGTTTTGAATTAACTGAGTATTAAATGAGGTAATTAATTAAATGGGTAATTGTCAGGTCACAGTAATTAGTTGTAATTAAATAAAAATAAAGAAGTATTTAGAAACTTGGAGAAAAAGGTTGATTATAAAGAATTTATATTTTCATCAGTGAAGCTTTTATTTTTGATAACAGGGAGTTTGGTTTGAAGTATTCCTTAAAATTCAATTGAAGTGATATTTTTTCTCAAATTCTCTTCTTAAATGAACTCCTGAATTGAAACTGCATTCAGTACTTTTATTTTGATTATGAGTGGAAAGGTCATGCAGAGAACGAGCTCTTTCCCTATGTACCTCATATTTATAATACAACAATAAAAACATATTTTATTGATATTGTCTGTTTCTGTTTTGTGGATAAAAAACTGATGTAAAGAAGAGAAAAGTCTTCATGTCTGTTTCATTTTTTAATTAATTTTATTATATTATTATTATTATTTATTTATTTGTTTATTTTGAAAAACAATTATGGCAACTGGAAAGCGATTTTGATGCCCAAATGTTAGAAACTGTTTTGCGGAGGGAGGGACAGACGGCCAATGTATCGGTAATCTAAACCATTAATAAGCCCTATCAATACGCAATAACACTATATGATAAACTATTAATATGATGAAAAACCGGACTTTTGCCGGTTCGACTCGTCTGTGTACTGTTTAGTGGGTAAGTAAAAAAAGCAGGGGAGTAAATTTTTTAGTAAAAATACCTAATGAACAATTGAACTTTGAAACAAAACCTGGAAACTTGATACTAGACACTTTACTTCAGCGTCCCTGACCGGACGCACGTCTGCATTACAAAGCTCGTTTGCAACAAACCTGTATATAATGATACAAAATGTGTTGCGTCGATATCCGTGTAACTACAGCGATTTCTTTCTCTCTTAGTGGCAATTTAAGCACTTCTGTTCAATATTTGTCCCGCCTTTTTATCGTTATTTAAAACAATTTAAAAGTCACATTTAGAAAGCTCTCGTAACCTTTACTATGAACTTGTAGACATAATAATAATAATAATAATAATAATAATAATAATAATAGCCTAATAATAATAATAAAGAAATTGTTGTAAATGTAAAATGTGCCATATCAGTTTGTATCGTATACGTTCAACTAGGCCTAAGTAGGCTTACTTACTTTTTTAGATTAGTAATAAGACTCATTTTCAGTCTCACTTTTTTTTCTTTCTTTCCCCTGGCCTATTTAGGCCTACTATTCATTATTATAATTTTTATATATAAATTCAAAAGTTTTTTTCTTATGCGATATTATAAAACGTTTCTGTTTGTGACTGAAATCATGGCTCGCGATCGCGGCTACCAGCAATGATTGCAGGGATGGGCCGGGTCCGTTAGCTTCAAAGATCTAATTTACTCTCTTCGCCCTTCCACACCCAATATTTTACGGAAGATGAAAAAGCGCATTTTCTCGTAGGCCTTTTGAGTGAAGTTATGCTAGCACATAATTTTTTCAAGAACAAAATTATTTTAACAACCTTTGAAAAGTAGACCTACGTCGATCTATTATAAATAAAATAAATTATGCATTTGGGCTTCAAATGTAAATTAATGTAAAACTGATCTTTGGGCCTATAATGATTTGAATTTGATAAAAAGAGGGTGGGCTCTCAGTTATCGAAATCGCGGTCATAAATCGATTTTATTGCCAAGTAGCCCATATTTGAACAGTCGTAGGCCTTGGAACAGCGCCTGAAATTACTGCAACTAGAGGAAAAAATGTTTACTTAGTTGCTTTGCATAAAAAATGAGATCATTTATGTATAAAACAATATATTTTGTTATGACAAATCGATACGCCAAAACTTCATCACGAAGTGCGTTTGATACGTTTGATAGTGTAACTTTGTTGAGTTGTGTTTGGGTGATACGCATGCTGCAACTGCGGTAGTTGGGTTATAAAAAGAGTGCAAGGAATTCCCTAGCTAGTAAGGAGAATTTGTTTTAAAGCTCAGTAATTTAAGTAAGTATTTTCTCAACACTGAGCATGTTTATAAGATAAAATATGAAGACAATGCACAATGTAAGTATAAAGTTATGATTATGATATTTTAAATGCCTTTACACTATGTAATCAAAGAAAGTAAAAACAATAATTCCGACAAGTAAAATTCTCCTAACCATCCCAAGTGCGTGAATGAACTGGCTAGTGACGTCATACTATAAATCTGCCATCTTGGCGTAGCTGAGGTCCCTCCCGAATATTTTTTGCGAGAAACTGGTTTCCTTTTCTAGTGGCGCTCAATGTGCGGAAATATTTTGGTAAGTGACTATCAATATTAATACAAAGCGTTCTATTTTTATGTTTCGAGGCAAAATAGGCAACCTTTCATTCATGATAGTTGACGCGGTCATCCCGGTCATATACCATGTATGCAGTATGCAGCATGGGAATGAAAATTTTTATGACGGTATGAATGGTATAAATTTAGACGCTGAGAACGCAGCACAGCTTGATGTGACTCCAGCCTCACTGCGATATTTTTGCTGACTTTAAATTAAGTTTTTCATTGACACACAACGTATCAGCTAGTCCATCTGGTAGTGATTTCAGGTAAGTTAGCCGATATTGAAATGTGACTGTGTGCACATTCTTGTGTTATTTGACACTTTGGCAATGTCATATATATGACAAGTGCATTTCAACAGTTCTGTCAATCTCATATTGTCAATACAGTGTAGTTTCAATAGGAGCTCAATGCCACAGTTTTCTTACTAGTACGATATTTCTAAAATTTTGTGAATAATATTACTATATTTTGATGTTGTAACATTTTATATTATCATCTTTATTAATTTTTTATGTATTCAAACCATCTTTCTAAGTAATTTTTTCAATGACAGCACCCAGGAGAGTAGGGTATATTATTTTTACTTGTTTCGTGTGACCTACCCACAATGTTTTATTTTATTGATTATTATTTTTTTCAATAATTTGTTTCTTTGGTTTTCATCATAATCTGCTGCCTTTTTAGCGGTGTCAAATCATAAATTTGACACTGTGATTAAAGGCAGCAAAAGCGATCACTTTCATTTTCATGTTGTAAAGTTAATATGTTTTCAGGCTATTTTAATGTGATCAAAGCCTACTTCTGTAGCATGGAAAGATAGGACAATGATTGGCATCATTTCCGATTCCTAGTTGGTCTGAAAGTAAATCAATAGAGCAGATATAGACAGGGCATAATAAATGATGATATTGCTCTAGAAATTGAAAGGTCAGACTACTTGATTAGGGCTGCTTTGTAAGCTGCTTGTGGTTGNAAAGAAAGAAAGAAATCAATGAAAGACAATATTAACAAACAAATCAACTTTCTATATTCTTTCTTAAAAGGCAGCCTAGTTGGTTAATTTTATTTGCAGACTTTGATTCTAAAGACACATTTTGCACTTGAGTCATTTTGTAATAAGAAAAAGTCCCTGCTTGTATCTAAAGCTTGAAGTTAATCTGTCATTTTATCAATGAATATGAAGGGCCTTTAGAGTGCCTTCAGCAGAATTGGCATCATTTTAAGGGATTGGGGGGGGGGGGGGAGGGGTGAGAATCCCATCTTATAAATAGAAGGTTTGACATCTTGATCAAAATTTATTCTAGATATGTATCAAGTGTTATTGTTTGTACAATTTTGCTTAATTTCCTTTGTGTTGTGAAGTGACTGAACTGGACAAAAGCGGTTCAAACCAGAGACAACTGATTGAAAAACAGTGTTTATATTATCTGGCGTTATTGTGTGAATGTCCTGAAATCTTTAGTTAAGCATAGTTAATGATTTACGTCAGTTATACTCTTGCTCATGACGTGATAGGGCATTCTCCCCGGGTTAAATAGGGTAACTCTAAGTGATTTGCTTTTATGAACAAATGCTTTTTTATTAATGTGTTTTCTTGGAATCGTTTGATTTTAGTTTTAAAGCTCTCTTCAGATATTGGAAAATGCCAATCATCAGCAGTATTCTGGGCAGTAAGGTTTTTTAAAATTGTTTTTCCTGGTATTCTGCTCTTTGTTTTTCAATATTGTGCTGAAAATTTAGAAAGTGATTTACTGAGGCTTCTTGGAAACAGCTTGATCTGCTTTGGACAGAAAATCATTCCTTATATTTGTGGAAAACAGACTGAGAAAGTGAAGTGTTGCATGAAGCCGACTTCTCAAGCTACATGTATAATCTGTGGTATCCTTATTTTGAATCACAGTGATTAATAATTGGGTGATCGATTTTTTCATCTGTTTGCAAACTCGGTGAACTCACTTCTTATCAACCAGTGGGCAGTCACAATTACGGTAATTATTTGAAATTTTCAAACACCCCACGTTTTCTAATATATTGCTTTTTTGAGATTTTCTCATATTCGGACACATTAACTTTTTTCGACAAATTTAGAACCGAACTAACATTCCTAAATAGTAGAATTAAGATATTCAAGTTCTGTATCAACAAATGTTTTAATTTGCTGAGTTATATTGTTCAGATTTTTCATGTAATTACAGGAGAGAATGGCTGGAGTGAAAGGAGAAATCAATTTTGTTATTTCTCTACCTACCTATGCTAACTGGTGTACATGAAAAATATTTCTGTGGACTTTCCATCTTGTATTGATTTGTCGATATATATGAATATATATAGGGTACTGGTATTGTTACTTTTTGATCAGATTGAAAAAGGCAGCACAAAATGAAGTTCGTCATTTGTGGTTTTGTTTCATTAACAAGTGTTGAACAGGAGGCACAGCTCCAAGAAAACTGCAGTGTTTCTGTGATTATACTCAAGTTACAGAATATTTGGCAGTGCTTGTATTATAACAGCCAAAAATGTGTAGGAATTATAACACCTCCCTATTTGTTAATAAGCTATTGTTTTCTCACAGACAAGTGATTTGGTCATATTAAAACCATTTACATTTACTATATAATATTATTTTGTGGAGTAGGCCCTGCTGTAAGATAGGCTGGATTCAAGTACACAGTTTTCAGTGTGCTAACTCAAACTGATGTCACAAGCACTGTATATGACCAGTGAATGAGACGAGGTGATTTTTCATGTGACAAACACATGGTCAAATACTATGCGTCAGCTGAGTATGTGTCATTCATAAAAATAACCTTGAAATAGTCTCCCCCCCCCCCTCCTTGACTCCTTATGTTACACCGAGGTTGTATTTTGATTTATGCTAGTTAATTTTGTTGTCACGAGGAATATTGTCCTTTTGAATTATAAAGTTGTTTGGGGGGAGTATTGAAGAGGAGAAATAACACATTTGTATGAGTTGTTTTGTATCAAAGTAATAATGAAAAGGTTTGGTCTACATGGGAGGTATAACCAAGGTATTAAAAAAAGGAAAGAGTAATAGTACCAATGGTTTCACTAACCATAATTTATGTCTTTAATACAAGCAGATCAAGTGAACGAAAGGCCGTCGGTTTAATTGATCGTGTTTGGCTCCCTTGTCTACATTCACTTCACCGCCCAAGCATTGACCCCCGCGGGAGGTCACACCTTCAGAGGGAACCGGTGGCCCGCTTTGTAGCCCTTCTGTGTCAAGTAGAGGGGACTGCATTGTGTTTCCACCCACTGTGGAATGTTGCCTATAGGCCGTGTACAGTGGTGGAATATTTGCTGAAGAATGACCTGCCCCCAGTGGCCCTCGTTGTCCTGGTGTTTACACGTGGGTGGTGGTAGTTCTTGAAGATTGACATGAATTGTTAGCTTACTAGTCTATGGCAGCTCTCTGTCTGGACTGTAACTCTTTAAAGACGTCTACACATACTTAGTAGGCTATCCATTGATAAGAGATTGCTAAGATAGAGGACTAGTTTGCAAAGGGAACCGGCTGTTTGAGTACTAGTACTAGTAGGGGGCCAGACAGGGAGTGGATCAGGGTACAGGCACCGTCTGGTCCAGACTAAATAGGAAATGGAGTTCGCAGGAGGTAAGGAGTGCTGAAGTATTGATTAGGGATTTACTCCCTTCCTTTCCTCTCCTCCCTTCCATTTTCTCTCTCTCTCTCTCACACACACACACACACACACACACACGCACGGACGCACACAAGGACACACTTATAAAACCACCCTGATCCTTACAGAACCCTACTAGTAGTTATGCCCTGCTTTTTTAGAGATGCATATTTCCGACTTGGCTCTGTGAATCAGTATGAAGGAGTCTTCTAAAGGTATGTGAACACAGGGCCAAATTTCCATGCTGATAAGATTGTTTAAATTACTCCATTGGAATGTGTGTACTTAAAACTGGGGTACGGCAAGTTTTCCTGTCTGGACTTGTTACCTGCATTCAACAACAGTATCTCTATTGAAGCATTGACTATGTAAAGTTGAACACACACTGTTGGCCTCAAATGTCTGACTCTGCAGTGGAGTCATTATCATGTCTTTAGTTTGTGGTTAAACCCTGTATATACTTGGAAATTCACTTCTATCGTCTAGCTGATCGTCTTCAAATATTGATGACATATGCTTTTGTTTTTATCACACGATTTAACACAATTCGGTTTCTGAATACTTTGCCGTAGTGTGCATGAAATTAGGGAAGCTGGACACTGAGTCTGATTGGTTATTTGATCGATTGTCTTTTATGGCTTTGCAATAGTGGTTAAAGGTAAGTGTATTCTCTGCTAATTCACTGTATCGGGTATAGTCCTGCTGATGTAGTCTTACGCTTGTCAAGAGAACAAGATACAGAAGGGGTAAGGTGGATATCAGTATCTGTTAAAAGTATAAAAATGATCTTAAATATTTGTAGTAAAAAACATGAAAACAGGTTCCATTTGGAAATGAACTTAAAAAGAAAAAAAAGGCTGATTACAATAGCTAGGTAATGTCCATTCTCCCACCTGATTAATGGTTTAAATATTAAAGTTTGATGTGCAAGCAAAAATGAAGGGGATAGAAGTGCAGTCTTTTTTTTTTTTTAATTTAAAAAAAAAGTCTTAAGCGTTGTGTTCCAGCAGTTTGCATATTTGGTATATGATAATTGAGAACTTGGGCTATTGATTATTAAGGTCAAAAGGTGACATTGATACACTGTCTTCAAGCCGAATGCTTGACCCAGCTACTGGGTTACCTGCATGTCTGGGCTTGTTCTTCCCTACCTGCATGTTAATCACAGTATGACGGAACAGACAGTGCGTAAGATTGTGAGGTGCAGGTGTCGTAATCTTTCGTTGCTTTATCATATGATTTTTTTTTAGGTGATTGTGATCTTTTGTCTGTCTCTTGTGTTTTTTTGTTTTTTTTTTCTTTATATCTGTAGCAAAACATCTATAAGCTGTTAAAGCTATGAGTCTAATAGGTGAAAAGTTGGGAGAAATAATTTTTTGGATTTTGCATTCATTTTCTCAAAGAGCGGTGTACTTCTAATTATGTCTTCTGTCAAATTTTGACAAACATACTTGATTAATTAATTTATTTATTTATTTATTTATTTATTTATTTATTTTATTATTATTATTATTTTATTTTTTTTTTGCATTTGCATTTGACCAGTGAAACTATTTGTGACACATTGGTACACATAGTCTGAAGATATTCAACAGAAGGTCAGGTGTTGTCTAGACAGGCCATTGTACTGCAATTCATAGCAAGTAGAACTGAATAGCATAACCCAGTCTAGACTACTGGTACATGGCACTGGAGGTGCCTTCCTTGATCTGGAGGAGAAGGCATGTTGTTGTAACAATATAGTTCAACGTAATGAAACGAAAAGGAATTGTGAAATGATAAGATTCCAGGCAACAAGGTTTATGAACACAGACCATCTTGGAACTCCTCTGTTGTTACTTTTGCACACAGTCCAAGAGAGTGTGGTCTTGGCACACCTTGGCCAGTGGCTCTGTACACAATGTCCACTGTCCAGTGAATAATAAGAAATATACATCAGATGAACTTTTTAATAAATGAGCTGTCACACTTGTCAGTCACACCTTTGTTTTATGGATGTGATTTGTGAGTTTCAAGGTTGATGAGCTAGTGCGTTTGGGTAAGAAAGAGAGGGAAATGAACATTTTTTTTTTCTACATTTGTAAATGTGGGAGTCGGAGCACATTTTGGACCAGTTAATCTGCGGACTAACTAGCCTTGGGATCTAATATAGTGCCACCCACTTATAAGAGTGCCAAGTTTCCCCTGCTGGGATGGCAGGCGTGGGGGGCAGAAATCCACTGTCAAGTCTGCACTGTATTTGATCCGCAGACTAGTTCCTCTGCAGATGAACTGGTTGTGAAAAACAGATGCATTCCTTGTGGTAAAGGTGTACTAGGTAGGATGTACGTACAGGTTTGTTACTGATGTTTTCTTATTGATTGACAACAAAATAAGTCATCTTTACCGGGTTTTTGTGATGGAGAGGGCATATGGTCAAGCAACTGCCCCAAATGACCAAACAATCCTTATCCTCAGCCTACTGGTACCTTTATATTCAAGAGAACAATCACTTGAATTATTAAAGGGGCAACTCCTGTATAAAGTATACTCTTTCTGACAGTAGCTAATATATTTGTCTGGAGATAATATATTTAAGTTTCTTGGACATTTTCCCTCTAGAATGTCAACAGCATTAGAAAAGGGAAATGAAGGGAGACTAAGCTACTTATTACATTTCAGAACTTGTGCTCCAGGAAAGGTGGCAAAAAAACAAGCACTAGTAGATAATTCAAGATTGCATGTCAAGATTTTCCAAACGAAGCTACTAAAAGCCTAATCTGCTTGTCATAGTTGGCTAAACAGAAGTTTAGCAGTCAAAGCTTGAAGGACATTTTTCCGTATTTTAAAGAGGGGGCAAGCCTGTGGACTGTTTTTCAGGCAAAATTTGACTAAAACAAAGCTGATTCATCATCAGATCATAAGATCACTTGTGGTAAAGTATGGTCTCTTTTGAAGACTTTATTATTGGTTGACTAATACATTGTGTGAGACATAGTGGACTTGGCTAGTCAGTTTTCTGAGTTGCAGTGTGTTATGAAAGTGCCTGCTGTTGTTTTGATGGTTGTTGATAAGTAGATTATTGTGCGTGTGGGATGAATCTGTGGATTGAGGAGTAGAAAGCTACAGAATCACATGCAGGTACGGCTTTCCTTTCGTGAAAATAACTTAATATGTAAGTTGTTTACATTGAGTGTATTTTGATGTTTAATGCTATATTTATGTAATTTTCCCAGAAGTGTAATATTCTGTCTTGATGTTCTCTGGCCTTGAAGTTGTTGATGTTTTTGATGTTTTGAAGAAATTATGAATGATGGGTCAGTGGGACCCACAGTCATAAGCACACACGCAAGCACAACATCTTGTGCTTGAATGTTTATAGAAAAATATAGATTGAGGATGAAATTGATTAATTCTATCTTAATAAAGTATCTGTTGTGGTACTGGGGTACTAAGAGAACCTATACTTTTTGATAGCACATTTCTTTTGATATGATAAGCATTGTCTCGTGTTTTGGAAAAATTCTCAGAAAATTTCAGTCATAATTTCCTTCTTTTTTATTTATTTATTTTTTTTTTCTTATTTTTTACATCTGGGGTATAACTTTAGATGACATAACATGTCTTTGTCCCCCACTCCTTTTGAAAACTTCAGTGACATCAGCTTTATCAGTGGACCACAAGGAAGTTGTCTTTTTTGAACAGCATTCAGTATCCTCAACATGGGCCATAGAAAAGCCATAGGCAATTGCATTGTGGATTTTTATTGCATCAATACACAAATTCCAGTATTGTTGACTAAGCTAGTTCTGATTCAGAACATTGTGTGAGTAAAAATGCCAGCACGAGGAAGTTTTTGATAATTGTATCTTTTCTATTTTATAGGTAGCAATTGATTTTTTTTTCTTTTTTGGTTAATTTTTGTCAGAGGTATGATAGATCTTTTCTTTTCACTTTAGAAGTAAATTGATCAGAATGCATTTTGAAAAAAACCCTGTCCCATTTACAAAGAAATACTCCACAACATTCGTTGGCCAAGTACACATACACTTTTTATCCCTTTGCTGACAGCCATGATGTCATGATGATGACCTTTGACCTGCATCATTTTATTGTTTGTTTATTCCTAGCACCAGTACTTCACTTTGTAGCCTTAACTGTAGCAGGCAGGTATGTGTGTGCATATATTCATAGTGGCAGTCATTGTTTTGTAGGGCATGGGGGTTTGGCCCTATACTCTCTCAAGGTTTTTGACAATCCTCATCTAAACTGACTGTCTGGATAGCATGTATTACCTAGGGTTTTTGATACTGTCACTTGAGACTTCAAGGTGAGCAAAACGGGAGAGTCTGGTTTCTGCATATAAAGATGCCAATCATTTAAAAAAATTCCTGTACTTACCAGGTCAAACAGTTTGCATAGTCAGATGTTGGGGGAAGGGTTAAATCTGTTTTATTTATTTATTTACCAAAAGATATGTTCTTATTTTTTAACCAGAAAAGGATATTTTATTCATATTTTTTTCATAATTTGGTGTGTTATATTTTCCTTTGATATTGAGATCCTAGCACTGTGTGGCAAGGTGCCCAGAGGAAAACTGCCTTGGATTCCGTATTATGGGTATTTTTTTGCTTCCTGTACCTGTGCAGTGCTATGAGGCGGCTGTCTATTCATAGAATTCCCCCAGAAAACCTATCTTAATCTGACTGATACTCCCAGCTTTTGTTATTGTTGTTATTTGTGGCGTCACTGCTGCCAGTTAGCATATTTCTGGGCTGCGGAGGGGTTGGACACCGCATTTGTTTTGGATTAATTTCAACCAGGAAGAAACTTCAAAGAAAGGATGTAACATGGAGATAGGTGAGTTATTGTTGAAAAAAATAGGGGCGGGGTGGGGGGAGTAATGAGCCGAGTGAATTAGATACATGTAGGCTACACTTCAGAAGAAGATTGCAGCTAGTTTGAAAGCGAATATCAGTTAAAAGGAATTTCCCAAGATTGGCTGTGGTGTCTTGGGGAGAAAGGTATGTTATTACTGAGAGAATATCAGCCAAAAGCTGGCGTACACATACTTAGGTAAGCCAGGATTTGAAGCTAACTTTATTGGGTCTGGTCTGGGCTGGAGAATGTTTTTGGTGGATTTGTCTGGAGCATAATGTGTATAGTTTTGTCTGGGGAGTTGAGATGTTTGTTGTTGGAAGTGACAGCCTTGCTTTCGAAAGTGCATCATTTGCATGGCACCAGTGGACTCAGGACAGAGCTGGAGAGATGTGTGTTATTGGAGGGGAGGGGGGCACATGGACAAAATTATTTACTGAGTGAAATCAGAAATAGAAAAAGAGGAGTTTTACTGGGGGAGTATGGGGCATTCCAAAAGGGTGGAAAGGAGAGCATGTCACCCACTGTGTTCTTCCCCCTCTCTCTGGATACACCATTGTTCAGTCTATTCCACTTTGATAACCATATTGGTTTACTTTGATTGTTTTTGGTTTGGAGTAAACTGCTGTGTATATGATGGCAAAGTGATATGGATAAGCGGGTTAAGTGAGGTATTGCGGTCTATATGAACTGATTTTCTGGATAAATGTTGCATAAGGCTTCAGCGTGCATTCTAGGAATCGTTATGTTACTGTGTTATGGTGAAGATTGCTTATTTCAAGTATGGAATTGACACAATAGCTGTGTATGACTTAACGAAAATAAGGATGATATAAGATGAATCTCGGAATCAATTTACACACTGCGTACTTGATAAGAGAAGATGGTTCCAGATTAATCTTTGTCTGACAAGGGCAAGACTGTTCATAATTAGAGACAAAAATATATATGTATGTAATTTAGTTGTTGCAGCACGGCTCTTGTATGCTTTCACCTTTAGTATTTGGGATAATTTAGAAGGTGAACTTGTTATATGTGAGGCAAAATAAGCTTCATTTTGGACATAACTGAGCTGCAGGTGGGGATTGCAATTAGGGCATTTTTTTTTCCTGTGAATATCACTAATTATTATCGTTATAGTATGTTCTTAGTACTGTACTTGACATTCATTATAGTAATGTCAGTTCAGCTCTTAACATGTTGCAACCGGTCGTGGCCTCACAGATGAAGGCTGGACTTTAATCTGAAAATAGATAACATGTTCTTTTTTTTTTTTTTTTTCTCTGTTATGGGTGTTTAATGTCAATGCAGTATTGCTACAACTGAAAGTCGTTCATAAAATCATAAACATTATTGGGGGTACTCATGATTTTACCCTTTTAGTAGAGCAACTCTCTCTTTCCACAGAAAAAAATACTTGATTTGAAGGGAGGAAACAAAAAAAATACATTACCCTCACAGTAGCAAATGAGAGAACATGTTCAAATACTCTCAATGGCTTAAATAATATAGCATGGCTGCCCTTTCGCTAGCAGGTAATGGATTAGGTGGTAATAAGAGAGAGTGCTTACTACATCCAACAGTTCAGGCCAGCATTTGGCATTTGAGGTAAGACCAGGGTTCACCTGGCCTGCCTTCTGCCTTACTATACCCGAAATCCTGCTGGGTGAGTATATATTGGTGGAAAAGGCTGTATGAGAGTATATTAACTGGAATGTGTATTCTCTCTCCATCTTAGGCTCAATAATATTTTTGATGCAAAAAAGAATTATGCACACACTCATGTACAATCACACACACACGTACATGCACGACACATGTACTAGTAGGCACACACATTTGCACTCACTCACACACACACACATACACACACACACACACACACACACACACACACGAGTCACCTGATTATCATCTTAATTGTCCTATTTAGAACCATGGCTTCGGAGCATGAGTGCTGTTTACCTAAATACACGTAATATGTGACTGAGGTAAGAAATAAATTTGGTGTGCCAGATTGCCCCTGTGCATTGCACGGTGAGGTGGGAGTTAATTTTAGGTGCTCCAGATGCTTTCCATGACTGCACAGTTCTGGGGATACAGGTAGGCGATATTGTTGTTATTATTATATACCTGACAGGTTGCTGTTAGCTGGTATGTATACATGTATAGTTTGAAGGCTTAACAGTGTATAGCAGGCACAGTAGGTATATGTACTTGCTAATTTATTTATTTATTTATTGTTCGAAATAGCTCAGTTATGCCAGACATCAGTTTATGTTAGCTGCTACTGAATTGGAAGATAGGAGTCGTGGGCTGACCATGTCTGGATACTTGTTTTTGTTTTTACATATATCTTAAGTAGTTGAAAAGAAACTGATAATCTCTATGGCATAAGGGGGGTTCTGCAAGAAATGCATTTTATGTGAAGAAAATCCGTAGAGTACTTATTAACCAAGAGACACAATTCAGTGATTTTGATCTTTGTATAGCAGATGTGTATGTTTTGAAATGAGGAATGAACCCCGGACTGTGTTAATAGACATTAATGTAGGTAATACATAGCATACTAGTTTAGTAGATAACTATTTATTTCTTCGAGTTTCAGACCTGGTGCAGGCATTGGTGATTGTGATCCTCCAATTTACTCTGTTTTCAGTCCATTAGATGAGCTCAGTGTTGAACAGATGTTGATTTGTTGCCAAGGTATTGGCTGTCAATGTATGATGCTATGAATACTTTAAATCACTGCCTGGATGGTATACAGTAAAACATCTGCTTATATATGTATTGGACTTGCAAGTACAGGCTAGCTGCAAAGTATGAAATCGTTTCAGGAAAGCAGAGAAGGAACTGTGGGCAAGGTTTTGGGCCAAGGATGAAGGAGGGATAAAAGCACCTCTCTCTCTTTGATGTATCTTCCTTATTTTTTGTCAGTCATGGTGACTCCAATTGTCTCTTTGTGATGACATCTTCAGTGAAGTCTCACACTTAGATGTGTTATTCAGGTCCCTTAGAGGAAATGTCAGGTCAGGCTAGGGTCATGTCACTACCCTTATACACAGCTGATATGGCTGGAAGTCAAGACTTTGAAATAAGACATGAGACTAGATGGCAGCTAGTGTTGTCAGTGGGGGTGGTTAATATTTTTATTATATACCCTAGGTGACAAGTTCATTTAGACAGGCTTTGCCTTTATTTCTTGGGGGGGGGGGGGGGGCAAGTTATTTTTATGTAGTAAATGTTCTTTTCTGGCAAGTAAATTCCTTCCGTGTAAATAAATTTGGGAGAGCACTTGTCCAGAGCACAAGTGTTTATTGTTTAGTAAATTTAGTAGTAAATGATTTTTTCTGACAAGTAAATTCCTTTTCGTGCAACAAATATCCCCACAATCGTATTGTTAACTCTTGGATAAGGTTATATAGGTTGTGCTATAGCCAGAGAGGTGTCTGGATGCATGATTTGAGCAGCAATTAGACCATCCTATGTACTAGTATGTGAATGTATTCAGTAGAGTTGCCTCTGGTGTCTGATATGAGTAGTTCTTGGAAAAGTTGTTTTATTACAGGTTCCCTTGTTAAGTATCATGCTTTTGGCAGTGGCCCATGCAAAAAGTGATGGTTATAAATGTATGTGAGAGTATGCTGTGGATAAGAAGTAAAGCTTAAAAAGGTATGTCTATTTGTCATTTACCGAGAGAAAAAATGGCTGCACCTATGAAGTAACTCATTTTTCACCAAGTGGATGATGAATTGGCAAAAACTGTCAAATATTTCCTGTAGAAATGTCACTGATGCTGTCCGATGAGTATTATTAAGCTTTTGCTTAAAATAGTATATGTTTCAGAGATAGCCCCCCCTTTCCCCAAGTGCTCTGTGGAATCATATATGCTGTGAGCTTAGTTAGTTGTTTGTGTGTTCCTATGCTGCAATCTACAGCCGTCTAAGGTAATGCAAATACTGTTATCTTGCTTTTGCGGAAGTTATAGAAATGCACGCACTTCACCTTTCTGTCCTATCAGTAAGGTCAAAATGCATTTTTTTAATGAGTATAGTTGTTTTTACCATAGGGTAGTCTGGTTCTTACCAGCTTGGTTTAGATGAGTGGTCTGAAATGCCCTTTTTGCATTGTATTTTATATGGGTTTTTACAACACTATGTCTGGGATCTTGATTTATATTTAGTCCTGCAACTCTTTTTTCACCCGATGACTAACATTAATGGCTTCGCTAGTGCTTTTGACTAATCACCTAAATGGTGACAACATTGATGTTGTAGTTTGTTCTTCTGTGCCAGTGGTATTTTGAATGGAGCATTGAGGCATAATTTTATATGGTGATCACTTACGGTGATTGTATAATTATTTACAATTCATATTGTTCACAGTTTTGAGTAATAGCCATACTTTCCCTCAAAGAGTCTGTCTGGATAAATGATGGAAAGATGTTAATTTCCTGACATACATAAAATGAGTGCATTAGCTAATTGGATCTTTATATATCATTCCCATAGTAATCTGCCAAGGTATCCCTTATCACAGGTCCCTACATTAAGGAAATTTCACTGCTGTGGTGAGCAAGGGAAGTAATGGTGGGGTTTTGGATTATGGCTATTTCAGAGAACATCCCCAGTTTTAGAAGGTTATTAGTTTTAGGTTTAGTGTTAATCCACATAGAAGTATTATTGTATGATGACTGCTTTGTTAAGCATCTGCTTTGTCATCAGATATCTCTGGTGCATATAAACTACAACAGTTTCATGATTTTTTTTTTTTTTTTTTTTTTTTTTTTTTTTTTTTTTTTTTTTAAAATTTTTTTTCTTCTTTT